GGAGGAGGAGAAGGCCGTCCCCCCCTTGCCGAACAGGTCGGCGCCGCGGGCGCGCCCAGCGCGGTTTCCGAACCCGCGATTTCTCGGCACGTCTTTCTATTCCCACACTTTTTACATCATGCCATATTATTTGTTCTCACCTCTCCTGCCCTCCTTCGTGGGCGTCGGCATGACCGTCAACATGAACGAGACTCTTACCGTCTGCCGACAGCCGAGACCGCTTCGCAGCGCTGCGAGGCGGTTGGCGCATGCAGCTAGGAAGGGACAGCCGCCGCGGTCCAGCGACGTGAACCGCCTCATGGTCGCGGCTGCCACCGCAAGCAACGCCAACACAGCCCCCAAAACATCGTCATCCCAGTCGACAAGCCAGACACCGAACCGCCACAGGCGCCATCAGCTACGGCTGCGTCAATTCTTCGGGAAGAAGCGCCTGCCTTTGAGCCAAGCCTGCTGCTCCTCCCGCCTGTCATCACGAGCATCGGCGCCTCCACCACGGGCCCTACTTCAATGGCATGGCCACAGACAGCGTCGCAGGCGCCACGGCAACTGCAGCCCGAGAGGAGTTGTTTGGGCGGCGGCCCAACATCGAGGCCAAGCAGCGGGGCGGGGTGCAGAGCGACCTCGGCCTCCCGTGTCGCAGGCGCCAGTGCAGGTCCCTGCGACAACCACGCTGCTGGGGGAGCTTGCACAGCAACCTGGGCTCCCCCTCGGCGCGGCGCCGATGGAGGCCCCGCACCACCGCCAAACGCGAAGTCGTGCGCACCTCCGAGACCACCAGGAAGTTGGGCCAAAGACATGGCTGGCGACCGCCCCAGCCACCAGGCCAGCAAACCCATGGACATCGAAGGGGCCACCGGCTGCGACCAAGCCGACAGCGACCTGCTCCACGGCGCCAGCGACACCTACAGCCACCAAAGCGCCAGGGAGGCGGCGGGGACGCCCCCCCCCCAACCGGGCTGCCCAGAGGGACAGCTCCAACGACACCCTCGACTGCCAAGGAAGCACGGAAGCGAGGCGCCCCTGGCTGCCGAGCCTGGCAGCCTTGTTGGCGCGACCGCGGCGCGCCGCCGACTACGACGGCTACGACAAGAGCACAGAGGCGGCGGGCCTGACCGACGGCTCCGACGACGCCCTAGGGCAGCAGCACGCCGACAAGGAGGCGGGACTTGCCCCCCCCAAAAGGGCCCGACCCGACCAGCGGCTCCAACGACACCTTCAACCTCCGGAACACCGCGGAGGCGCCCACCCTACACGGGCCAACCTGCGAGACGGCTTCGACAAGGCTGCGAAGCAGTCGTGAGCTGACACCTCTCCCCACCTTCCCCTCCCTTCCATTTCCCCCCTCTTCCTTCTCCTCCCCACTCCTGTGGGCATGGCGGGATGGGGGGCTGGGCGCAAGGCGTTGGACAGGGAGGGAACGCATGAAGCGTGCGGCGACAGCGCCACCGCCAGAATCGTACTCCACCAATGTTCACTACTGTTACTATCGTACCCCATCCTCTGCGGTCACGCCCCCCGCTACTCGCCATCCCTCCCCCTCTCAACCTCGCAGGATGCATCATGTCTCCTCTCGCACAAGGAACCCCACCGCTGTGCGTGCAATTTCAACACAACATATACCCCCCAGCTGCCCCTACGGAGAATGCTGCGGCGCGTGGCCAACGTACGCAGCAAGTCAATCGCACGGACGGACCGTTCACCCGACAATCGGCCCTCCGATGATCGACGCTGTCGCCTGATGTGCCTCACTGATCTTCGGACCAGGGCCACGACGCTCCCCGGGAGGCGAGCTCCCGCCGCTATCGGCAAGGGGCGCTAGGGGGCTCAGTAGATTGCCGGGACCTCCCCCCCTCCCTCCTCCTCGTCGTGCCTCTTTCCCCCCCTCCTCCCTCCTCCTCCTCCTCCTCCTTGCCTTGTCCTCCCGTGTCGTCCCCGCTCCGCGTTCTCCCCCGCCCCCAGAGGGGAGCCCCCCGTTTCGGCTGGTGGTGCCCATTTTCAACACCTGCCACGCCCACCGCGGCAGGGCAGGGAAGGGCTGCATCTTTTGGATCCATCCGCCCTGAGCAGCAGCAGCAGCAGCAGCAGCAGCAGGAGGAGGATGAGAAGAAGGAGGAGGCTCGAGGGGGAGTAGGGAGGAGGGAATCATGCTGCTCTCCTCCTGTTCTTCCCTCGCCGTCCTCCTGGTTGAGTTCACTTCTCCTCTCGCCGCCTGGCCCGCACTCCTCATGCTCTCATCTGCTCTTGTCTTGTCCTCCTCTCCTCCTCCTCCTCCACCTTTTTCTTGGCGCAACGCTAGAACGAGGTTCGCGTGGGCGATTCATCCTCGCCATCTTCCTCCGACTCCTGATGCTCCGCCTCCCCCTTGTCCCTGCTCCTCACCCTCCTCCTCCTCCTCCTCCTCCTCCTCCTCCTCTTCCACCTCCTCCTCTTCCACCTCCTCCTCCTCCTCCTCCTCCGCCTCCTCCTCCTCCTCCTCATCCTCCTCCTCCTCCTCCTCCTCCTCCTCCTCCTCCCCCTCCTCCTCCTCCTCCAGTGGCCACTCGTGACTGATTCCGACCTCGAGATGGCGGAGGAGAAGGGAGGGAGGCGGGAGGAGGAGGGAAGAGGAGGCGAAGGGGAGGACGACGAGGGCGGTGGAGGAGGAGCACGAGGGCAAGGGCAGAGTCGAGGTTGAGGTCGATGTCGGCAACGTCGGCAGCGGCAAGGACGGCGGCGGCAGCGGCGGCGGCAGCGGCGGCGGCGGCGGCCCGCTGATCCCCCAGCCCCGCTTGGTCGTCATCGGGCGGTCGTCGACCCCGCTTTTCCGCGGGAGGATGCTGCCATTCATGACAAAGGCGACGAGGCCGAGCTCCTCGGGGGGTGGTCGATAACGGCGGCGGGCGGCGACGACGACGGCGACGATGACGAAGACGACGACGGCGACGGCGGCAGCGGACGGCGGCGAACGACGGCAACGTCCGGAAACGCACAGCGCGCTAGACACCAGAAAATATGAAAAAAAATGAATGCAAAATAGCCGCTGAACACTGTAAAACAAAAATGGCGCCACCAATATGAGCCCGGGTCGCCCAAGACGGCATCCGAGCGGAACGAAATGGTAGAATTTGGACGAAGATGGCATCCATCGCGTGTTTTCCCGTGCGTCCCAGCGTTCACGGCGGAAAATGCCCATCAACCGAAAACGGGCCTGTAGAGTGAGACAGCCGGGACTCAGGGGTCCGCCAACCCCTGCAGTCGGCGGAGATATGGGGGAAGGGGGGGAATGAGAGGAGGCGAAAGAATGACCTCGCGCACACGGCCAGCATGCCCCTGAGCCCAGCACGCGCGGGAGTTACCCAAAGGAACCACCTCCGTGGTATGCCTGCCGCTCCGCTACAATGATACGCACACAGGCACCCTCCAATGGATTGTTCCTAGGCCTCAGTGGCGGGTGGCGGTGTACAAATCACGACTGACAGCTAACGACTTTACACACCGCCACCCTCCCTGAAGGTACAAGCAAAACTCGTTTGCGGGTGTCCGTGCGCGACGGAAGATGTAGAACCAAAAACCTAACATTTAAGAAATCTGCGCCGGCCTCCCGGAAATGTCTCCGCACGAGCCTGCGGCAGTTTCTGCCACTCAGATCAGATGCTCGGCTGTGCATCTTCTCGCTGCGTATAGGGGGCCACATGCGAACCCTATACCCCTACCCCCCACCCAGCCCCTCAGAAATCGTAGGAGGTAGGGGTATCGGCGGTGGACAAACCTCCCTTTAGTTGACCTCCCCTTAGTGAATACGGCCTGGGACCGAAACCGACGGACCTGGACCCGCAAAACTGACGGCCGCGACGCCCTCTCGCGAACCGAGAACGGCCAACTCGCTAATCGGCGTGTCAGGGTAGGAGGTCTGTCCACCCCCGAGGGTAGGGTTCGCATGTGGCCCCCCTAGCGTAGCCGTCATCGTCGCAACGTCGTGCTGCTGGCGTCCCAGCGAGAGGACCCCGAGACGAGGGCCCACGGCGGCGCTCCGGGGCGAGAGGACGCGAGACCCGCCCGAGGACCACGGCGCCAGAGGAGTGCAGAAGGCAGGGGTCGCGAAGCACAAGGCACGGGGGCACCCTCGTGCGGCGCGCTTTTGGCGCGTCGGGCCTCCTCGTTTGGAGTTGGCTGTGGTCACGGACATCCTTCTCATAGATGTCATGCGATGCGGGCGCAGTTTTGGGATCGATTCCTACCGCAGATGGAGCGCGTTTCTTTATGTTCGGCGATGACGGGGTCATGTGGGTTGGGAGGGTGGGGGGGGTATGACGTGACGCCCCCCCCCCCGCCGCGTGGCTCCGGCACCACAGCCGCGCCCGCGCGCACGACGCGACGAGCGACGAGCGACGACGACGACGCGAGCAGCATGTAAGTGGCGATCTGCCCATTGCGCCTGTGTACACCACAGCGCTCGCGTGCACCACACCGCGCGTGTGCACCACAGCGCCTGCGTACACCGCAACAGCCGCGTGCAACGCACCGCCCGCGTATACCACAATACTTGGGAGCACTACAGCGCTGGTGTACATACACCGCAGCAGCCATGTGCAACACAACGCCTGTGTACACCACAGTGCTTGCGTGCACCGCAGCGCCCGTGCACGCCACAGCGCCTGTCTACACCACACCATCCGCGTGCAACGCAGCGCTGGTGTACACCACAGCGCCTGCGTGCATAAGACAAGTAGAAGGAGCATGTACGTCAGGATCTGCTGCGGACAACTAAACGCCACGCCAGAAAATTTCTGACAATCGAATGCGACGTTTTTCCCTCCTCCCTCCTCCTCCTCCACCTCCACCTCCACCTCCTCCTCCTCCTCCTCCTTTTCCTCCTGTTCCTCCTTCTTACCCCCTGTCGTGCGGTTTGGCGTTACAACGCACGTGCGCATCTCACCGTGCACCGCAGAATGGTCGATTGAATCGGTCCACTTGGTTCTCGGACGGCCAGTTTAGCTGGAGCCTCCTGGACGCAAGTGGGAGTTAGGGTGATGCGGGCGGACTCGGGGGGACTCGTAGATTCCAGCGGCGCTCCTTTGTCCATGAGGATTTGTTTTCCATTGTTTTCTCTGGAATCCACACGCGCTCCATCTTGTCACAATGATTCCTTCTGAAATTCTATACACAACAATGGTGCTGTGTTGCACACGGCTGATGTGGTGCACACAGGCGCCGTGGCGTACACAGGCACTGCAATGCACGCAGGCATTGTGGTGTACACTGGTGCTGTGTTGCGCACGGCTGATGTGGTGTACGGAGGCGCTGTGGTGTACACAGGAGCTGCTGTGCCCGCAGGCACGGTGGCACAAACTGACGCTGTGTTGCACGCGGCTGCTGTGGTGTACATCGGCGGTGTGGTGTACACAGGCGCTGTGGTGCACGCGGGCAGTGTGATGTACACAGGCGTTGTGGTGCATATCGCCACCTACATGTTCGTGCTACCCGTCCTCCGTCATTCCTAAGCATTCCCAGACGCCGCCGGCGCGAAACGTGACGTCATCGACCCCCTCCCCCCCCAGATGATTGCCGTCATCGGCCCGGACTTAAAAACAGGCTCCAGCCGCGTCCGCGCGCACGACGACGATGAGCGACGAGCGACGAACCACGAGCAACGACGACGGACGACGACGACGACGACGACGACGACGACGACGACGACGACGACGACGACGACGACGACGACGACGACGACGACGACGACGACGACGCCTGCGGACCAGACACCTATGCGGATTCCTGCGCGGACACCTACGCGGATCCCAATGCGCATGGCGGCAGCGCCCGGAGCGCACTGGGGGGGGGAGCATTACGTCATAGGAGGGGGGGAGAGGGGGCCATGACGCCCGTCATGCCCCAAGCAATAAAGAAACGGGCTCATGCTTTCCCAGAGCGAGGGCACCCTTGGTCTGGCATGGTCGACCTACTAGTCAGCCTCGACTGTGTGCCCGCCATCAGCGTCGCGGCGTCGTGCAAGTAGCCTCCGGCATGCCCCCAGGGAGTGCCCGGGGGGGGGGGGGGCCTCAGGGTGGGTCGAGGTGGCCCCGGGGCTTGACAAGGATGCCCCCCTCGAGAGGGGAGTTTTGGAAGAGGGGGGGACACCCCTCCTCCCACTCCGCTCGCGAGTATGAGGATCCGAAGATGTGCGGCAGGACGCGGCGTCTCGAGATGAAACACCGAGCAGGAGGAGGAGGAGGAGGAGGAGGAGGAGGAGGAGGAGGAGAAGCAGTAACAGGAGGAAGAGGAGGGGAAGGAGGCAGAGGGCAGGGAGAAAGAAGTAAGGAGGACAAGGGGTACGAGCAGCAGCAAATCCAGCAGGATGCGAAGGGGTGAGGTAGGCCTGATGACGACGATGAGGATGCGGTGGGGGAGAATGGCGAGGATTCGAGGCTAGGATGAGGATGCCAAGGAGGAGCATTGCCAGGAAGAGGAAGAGGAGGAGGGGAAGAAGGGGGGGTAGTGGCTAGGGGAGAGGGGGGACAGAGACCCAGAAGCCCTCCTCCTCCTCCTTTACCTCCTCCCCGTCGGGGAGTCTCCACACATCTTTCGAAACCTCTAGCCGTAGAGAAAGCCTCCGAAACCATCCGAAACAGCATCCAGATGATCAGAGACCTGCTGCGAACGTCTCCGCCTCCTTCCCTCCTCCCCCACTCCTCGGGGACAACCTCCAATAGCCTCCGCAAACCTCCGAAAGCCTTCGGACATCTCCCCTCTAATCGGACCTCCCACCTCCCTCCCCCTCCTCCTCCTCCTCCTCCTTCTCCTCATCCTCCTCCTCCTCCTCCTCCTCCTCCTCCTCCTCCTCCCCCCCTCCCCCTCCCCCTCCCCCTCCTCCTCCTCCTCCTCCCCTCCCCCTCCCCCTCCCCCTCCTCCTCCTCCTCCTCCTCCTCCTCCTCCTCCTCCTCCTCCTCCTCCGCCTCCGCTTCCGCCTCCGCCTCTCCGCCTCCGCCTCCGCCTCCGCCTCCGCCTCCGCCTCCGCCTCCGCCTCCGCCTCCGCCTCCGCCTCTGCCTCCGCCTCCTCCTCCCTCTCCTCCGCCTCCGCCTCCGCCTCCGCCTCCGCCTCCGCCTCCGCCTCTGCCTCCGCCCTCCGCCTCCGCTCCGCCTCCGCCTCCGCCTCCTCCTCCGCCTCCGCCTCCGCCCGCCTCCGCCTCCTCCGCCTCCGCCTCCGCCTCCGCCCCCGCCTCCGCCTCCTCCTCCTCCTCCTCCTCCTCCTCCTCCTCCTCCTCCTCCTCCGTCTCCTCCTCCTCCATCCCTCCTGTATCCCCCCTCCCCCTCTCGTCCTCCGCCTCCTCCCTCCTCTCCCCTCCCTCTTCCCCCCTCATCTGCATCATCCTCAGCATGCTCATCCCTTCCTCCGCGCGCGCGGAAGGGCGCGGAGGAGACGACGACGACGACGGCGGCGACGACGACGACCTCTGGGGGTCTCCAGAATTCTGCAGAGGCCCACGAAGACCTCCTGGCCTGAACATGATCGGCCCACGAACCCATAAAGGAATACAGAAATGTAAGGTGTGGCAGCGGGTTCAAATACAACTGATTGGGCGACTGGCAATTCTAATGCTGAGAATGTCGATCTTGATGTACCGTGCCAAGGGCTGTGCTGTGCTGCGCCGTGCTGAATTGCGATGTGCCATGCCGCGATTGTGCTCTATAGCGTTATGGATCGAGTCCTCCGTTGTATCCAAGTCCTGGCCGAGCTGATCTGGATCTTAAGCTCGAGCTGCCTTAGCACGTAGTCGCTGCCCCAAAGCTAATTGACAGGGGGCCATGCCCGGGGGACGCGCCGCGGAAAGTCCCAAGGGACGCGCAAGGGGATGCGCCAGGGGACGTGCCATGGGGACGTGCCATGGGGACGCACCGCGTGACGTGCCAAGGGGACGCGCTACGGAACGTGCCAATGGACGTGCCACGGGACGTCGGGACGTGCCAAAGGACGCGCCGCGCGACGTGCCAAAAGGGCTCGCCACGGGGCGCGCCACGGAACGTGCCAGGGAACGTGCCAAGCGACGCGCCAAGGCACGTGCCAAGGACGCGTCAGGGAACGTGCCACGGGACGTCCCTGACCCAGGGCCAGGATCCCTTGTAAATGACACTGCGTCCGCGCTCCCAAGGTCAGGATCCATCGCAAATTACGCTGCGTCCGCGCTCCCAAGGCTACGATCCCTTGTAGAGTCCGTTGTGTCCGCTCTGAACTGCGATATGCCATGCTGCGATTGTGCTCTATATCGTTGTGGATCGAGTCCCCCTTGGCATTCGAGTCCTGACCGAACTGATCTGGATCCTATGCTCGAGCAGCCTGGTCACCGTGTAGCCGCCCCAGGGCTAGTTGAAGTGGAAACGTGGAAGACGTTCAATCAACTCGACTTCAAACTCCGACTCAGCTCCGACAAGGAACAACACGACACGGGGCACAGGCTCACGGAAGCGCCACAGGATGTGCCAGGAGCGCAATAGGGGATGCGCCGAGGGACGTGTCAGGGGACGCATCAGAGGACGCGCCCTGGACGTGCCAGGGACCTGCCACGGGACGTGCCCAAGCGCGTGCCATGGGGCGGCCAAAGGGCGTCATGCCAAGGGACGTTGCAAGGGGCCCGCCACGGGACGGGCAGGGGAAGCGCCTGGGGACGAGCAAGGAAACGCGACAGAGGACGAGCCAGGGAACGTGCCACGCCGAGTGGCGTACTAGGGGACGTGCCAAGGCACGTCAGGCCTGAACGTCGCAAGGGACGCGTCAGGGGGCGCGTCAGGGCTCCAGGGGACGCCCCATGGACGGGCGGGGTTGGACTGTGACGCACTGTACTGCGACAAGCGTTTCGCTCGAGACATCCTCAACGGATCCTCATGCTAGACATCCGTCTGGGCGACCTGGACACGTGAAACCAAGCGTCTCGCTCGAGACGTCCTCAACACATCCTCATGCTAGACATCTGCCTGAGCGACCTGGACACGTGAAATCAAGCGTTTCGCTCAACACATCCTCCACACATCCTCATGCTAGAGATCCGACTGGGCGATCTGGACACGCGAAAACGAGCGGTTCGCTCGAGACATGCTCCTAACGTCTTCATGCTAGGCATCCGCACGGGCGACGTGGGCACGTGAAACCGAGCGTTCGGTCAACGCATCCTCAACACATCTCTATGCTAGACATCTGCCTGGGCGAACTTGACACGTGAAACCAAGCGTCTCGCTCGAGACACCCTCAACACATCTTCACATTAGACATCCACGTGGGCGACCTGGGCACGTGACAACACGCGTTTCGCCTGAGACCTTCTCAGCACATCCTCATGCTAGACATCCGCCTGGGCGACCTGGACACAGGAAACACACGTCTCTCTCTGTCGAGGCATCCTCAACAAATCCTCATGCTAGACATCCGCCTGGGCGACCTGGACACGTGAAACCAAGCGTCTCGCTCGAGACGTCCTCAACACATCCTCATGCTAGACATTTGCCTGAGATATCTGGACACGTGCAACCAAGCGTCTCGCTAAACACATCCTCAACACATCCTCATATCCGCCTGTGCTGTACGCGAGAACAAGCGGTTCGCTCGAGACATGCCCCGAACATCTTCATGTTAGACATCCGCCTGGGCGACATGGGCACGTGAAAACAAGCGTTTCGGTCAACGCATCCTAAACACATCTATATGCTAGACATCCGCCTGGGAGACCTGGACACGTGAAGCCCAGCGTCTCGCTTGAGGCATCCTCAACACATCTTCACGTTAGACATCCGCCTGGGCAACCTGGACACGCGAAAACAAGCGTCTCTCTTGAAACATCCTCGACACGTCCTCATGCTAGACATCCGCCTGGGCGACCTGGACACGCGAAAACAAGCGTCTCTCTCGAAACATCCTCGACACATCCTCATGCTAGACATCCGCCTGGGCGACCTGGACACGTGAAAACAAGCGTTTCGCTCAACACATCGTCGACACTTACTCATGCTAGACATCCGCCTGGGCGACCTGAACACGCGAAAACAAGCCTGTCTCAAGGCATCGTCGACACTTCCTCATGCTAGACATCCGCCTGGGCCACCTGGACGCGTGGAAACAAGCGTCTCGCTCGAGACATCCTCAACAACTCCTGATGCTAGACATCCTTAAGATCTGGGCACGTGAAAACAAGCATTTCACCAGAAGAATCCTCTGACTTCTGGCCCCCAGGAGAGGAACAATCTATAGCACAAAACACACGTTTCGCTCGAGTCATCCTCATCCAATTCTGAAGAACAAACGTTTCGCTCAAGACATCCTCAAACATGGTTTCGCCGGCCCTACTCGACATCGTTATTTATCGCAATTAAGGTCGCCCTACAGCCGTCGATTCTGGGGGTAAACAGCTAAAAGAGAACCCTGGGTCCACGTCCTTTCAGGGAAGAACTATCAAGAACGCAAAACCAAGCTACGATCCTCTATCCTCGATCCCCGAGCCCTTGATACTTCATCATCGAACCTCAATCCCCGATCCTAGCAACTAGAATCTCCGATCCTCGATCAGCTGTCCTCGAATCTCCAACCTCGATTACTGGATCACCAGTCCTCGATCCTCGATATTCCACCCTCTATCGTGGACTCGTGGAATCCTCGATGCTGGGCGGCGGCGGCGAGCGGACGGGATCTCGCCTCCAGCTGTGCCCTGGCTGCCTCCTGGTCCTCCACGGACAGGATGTGGGACCTCAGCGCCCCTTGGTCGATGGCCCCAAAGTACATGCTCCTGAGTTAAGAGGAGGAAACAGATGCACAACCATCAACTTCTGGAGCTCTACGCTGATTCGGTGGATCTGGACTGAGCCTCCCCGTTGGCGGCGTCTCCGGCGCCGCGCGGAGTCTAAAAGTATATGCTAGCGCATGTGTTGCTTCTTCGATGGACGGCCCTCGTCGACACTGCCGCCGCAGCCAGCGTCGTCGTCGCCGCCACAGCCGCAGTCCTCGCCGCCGCCGTGGTTGTCGTCGTGGTCGTCGTCGTCGTGGTCGTCGCCGCAGAGAGAGTCGCCGACGTCGTTGCCGCAGTCGCCGCCGCCGCGGTTGTCAGCGTCTTCGTCGTCGCCGTCGTCGCAGGTGAGGTGGAGGGGAAGGTGGAGGAAGAGGAGGAGGAAGGGGAGGGGATCGGAAAGATAAGTGAGGACACTTGGGGGGGGGGGCGCTTGGGGGGGCTGAGTCCCTAATCAGCCCAAGGACAAAGCTACCTTGGAATACCCTTGGGAGGGGAGACTGAGGAGAAGGTGGGACCGAAAAGCATGTTCGGGTCCCAACTGTTCTGTGTGTTCTTGTTGTTGTTGTTGTTGTTGATGTTGCTGTTGTTGTTGTTGGTGGTGGTGTTGTTGTTGTGATTGTGTGTTGTGTGGTTTTTGTGTGTGTGTGTGTGTTATGTTTTTTCCCCCCCCACAGTGTGTGTTTTTGTTTCCCACAGTGTGTGTGTGTGTGTGTGTTTTGTCCAGCACCTTCTCCTCGAGGTGGAGCGGCGCAGTCGGGCAGTGCCCCGTTGTCCCCTCGCTCATTGCTCCTGCGAGCGTGCTGGCAGGAGGAAAAGGGTGAGAGGGCCCCAGGATACACAACTAAATACACACGAACAAACAAACTTCCCATGTGTTCGAATATTTTCTGGGTTTCTGTCTTCCCGCCCACTTCCCATATTTTCCCGTATTTTCTATGGAATCGAAGATTAATTGTGTCTGTATGTTTCTTTTCCTCCTGAAAGGGATCTTCACTCAGGCCAGTCTGAAGAGCCAATGTAGCCGGCGAAAGCTCACCCACAGCGCCTGAAAGAACGAGATATCCCAAACACAGGCTTGAGATCGTCAGTCGGCGCAGTGTGCGGTGAGAAGCCGACGGACGCGGACGATGAGTCTGCTGCCCCTCCTCCCACCCATCGGGCCACTTGGAGCCCCGACAATGTCAGGCGTCGTGCTGCGCCAGCGTCTCCGAGCACCACGCCGTGCTCAATCATCGCCGAGTGCGTTCCACTGCTCGCAGAGTGCCTGCTCGCAAACGTCCGACAAAAACACCTGCCTGCTTTGACGCAACCTATCGTAGATCCCTGGCGGGGGATCCAGGTCCTTTTGCGAGGAGGAGGAGGAGGAGGAGGAGGAGGAGGAGTTACTTTGCGAGTAGTGGAAGGCGCTCGTCGAAATCAGGCCCCATCCGCCGCACGCCGAGGGGAGGCTCTCCAACCCACGGCCGCGCGGAGCGCCGACGACGCAGAGCAGACACCTGCGGCGGGGAGACCACGCCGCGCTGCTGGCAGCTGCCACGGGAGCGACAGTACAGTCGGGGCGTTGACCTAGGGAACCCTAAATAAGGAACGCGGCCCCTATTTTTCATACGTTGAACTTCGATTTCAGATCGAAAACCTAAGGAAAACCCAGGGCAAGCTGCGAAACACTTAAGGAACACGGAGCCCCTCCCCGACGAAAAGGATTCCTTCTTCAGCGCCCCGACTGTATACCCTCTGTGCCCTTCGCCTTTAAAGGCAGCTTTTACTCCCCCGTCGTTCCGCCGGCCTTCCGCCTGCTCTCGCCGGCGGAGGCGGCCTCGTTTCACTGACTTCCGCCGCCTTGTGCCGAGGAGGAGATGGCAACTCCTTCGGTCCTCGACGGCGAGGCCCTCCGTGGAACGTCTCTAACATAGTACGCCTACCCCCTCCCCGATCCTTGCCCCTGACCGTAGACCCAGACCCCCGACGTCGCGATTCTTTCACAGCGCCGACACCCAAAGGTCTGGACCCCCTCCCCAGGACCTCTGTTGCATCCTGAATCGTTGTTTGACGCCCTAGGGGGCCCGGTAAGGGCCCCTGGGGGCCGAACGCAACGCAAAACGTCCCGTCGCATTTTCCTGTTTTTTGTTTCACAGCGCGAGGGGAGCGCATGCTACGCATGGAGCGAACTCAACGAAAACCACCTGTGTTGGATCCGTGGGTGGACCGAGCCGGATTGCAGAAGCGATGCTGCCTCTCTTGACCGTGAGCCGGCTGTGATGCCCGCTCGTGGGATGATGATGGTGATGATGATGATGATGAGGAGGAGGAGGAGGAGGACGAAAAGGAGGAGGAGGAGGAAGAGGAGGAGGAGGTGGAGGTGGAGGAGGAGGAGGAGGAGGTGGAGGTGGAGGAGGAGGAGGAGGAGGAGGAGGACCCGTCTTCAGGGGAACCGGTCGGGTGACGCGCTCGCCCGGGTCAGCCGGGGCCCGCCGCCGGGCGGCGCCCCGAGGACGGTGCGCCCGCCCCGCTCGGCTCCCGAAGCGGGGGGTCGGCCAGAGGGCGCCTCGAGGCCCCAGAGGAGGAGGACGAGGAAGACGAGGAGGACGAGGACGAGGAGGAGGACGAGGAGGGGGCCTCGAAGCCCCAGAAGAGGACGACGAGGAGGACGAGGACGAGGACGACGAGGAGGAGGACGAGGAGGGGGCCTCGAAGCCCCAGAAGAGGAGGGCGACGAGGAGAACGAGACGAGGACGGGCCCATAGAGCCCGCAACTGTTCGGACGTGCCCCCAGCCATTGTACTTCTTCGTCGGTGGCGAGGCAGAGGCAGTCCGCACCAGCGTGGGGCTAATCGGGGCAATCGATGGGTAAAATGTCCGGCGCGCAAGAGAGAGAACGAGAGAGAGAGAGAGAGAGAGAGACGAAGACGAGGGCGGCCTCGCGCGGGGAGGAGGAGGAGGAGGAGGAGGAGGAGGAGGAGGAGGAGGAGGAGGAGGAGGAGGAGGAGGGCGTTCGGACGTGGAAGAGTTCCGCGGTGAGCGGGACGGAGCGGCCAGCCAGGGCAGCGGGGACCGCGGCAGCACAGCCCACAGCTTTGCACGTTTACACGGGATTCTGGGAGTGGGTACCTTCGACCCTCACGAAAAATTCTCACACGAAGTCCGCGGCTCGCAGTCCTCATGTAAGGCACTGACCTGTCGACACCTCTGAGGCACGCAACCTCGAGCGATGGCTGACTCGGGCGGCGCAGGAGCAGCCACAGCCAAGGACGAGGAGGAGGAGAAGGAGGACGAAGAGGAAGATGAGGAGGAGGAGGAGGAGTAGGAGGAGAAGGAGGAGGAGGAGGAGGAGGCAGAGGAGGAGGCGGACTCTGGAGGCCTCCTGAGGATCCAGAGACCGCCCTGCAAGGAGATCTCAGGGGATTGGCCGACCCCCGTTTGGCACGCCCACAGGGGGTGCGGGCAAACAAGAATGCGAAGCCCAACAGCAGGCTTAGTCTCGAAAACTGCCAGCGGCCGCCTTCGGGCAGGCGGCCTGTTGTCTCAAATAGGCAACCTCCGCGGCAACACCGACAACGAGTCTTGTTCAAAATGGGCAAGAACTGTCCCTGGTTTTCGTTCCCCTTCTTCCGTACCTATCTCGACCGCCCCGACCCGTTAACGGAAGAGGGCCACTTGAGGCAGCGGCGGCTCTGCCGCCCGGCACACTTCCGCACAACATCGACAATCGGAGCTCCTCACCCTTCCCCCTCCCCCTCCCCCTCCCCTCCTCCTGCTCCCCATCCCCCTCCCTCTCCCCCCCTCCCCCTTCCCCTCCTCCTCCTCCTCCTCCTCCTCCTCCTCCTCCTCCTCCTCCTCCTCCACCTCCTCCTCCGCCTTCTCCTCCTTCTCCTCCGCCTTCTCCTCCTCCTTCTCCATTTTCTCCCTCCTCCTCCTCCTCCTCCTCCTCCTTTTTCTCCTCCTCCTCCTCCTCCTCCCCCTCCTCCTCCCCTCCCCCTCCTCCTCTTCCTCCTCCTCCTCCTCCTCCTCCTTTTCCTCTCCTCCTCCTCCTCCTCCTCCTCCTACTCCTCCTCCTCCTCCTCTTGCTCTGCTCCTCCTCCTCCACCCTCCTCCTTCCTCCTCCTCCTCCTCCTCCTTCCTCCTCCCTCCTCCTCCTCCTCCTTCCTCCTCCTCCTCCTCCTCCTCCTCCTCCTCCTCCCCTCCCCCTCCCACCCCTCCCTCCTGCTCCTCCTCCTCCTCCCCCTCCTCCTCCTCCTCCTCCTCCTCCTCCTCCTCCTCCTCCTCTCCTCCTCCTCCTCCTCATCCTCCTCCTCCCCCTCCTACTCCCCCCCTTCCTCCTCCTCCTCCTCCTCCTCCTCCTCCTCCTCCTCCTCCACCTCCTCCTCCTCCTCCTCCTCCTCCTCTCCTCCTCCTCCTCCTCCTTCCTCCTCCTCCTCCTCCTTCTCCTCCTCCCTCGCGATACGATCACACCCTGGCCATCGCTCGGACGTCCATTCCCTGTGTTTTTTCCTGCTTCGTGCGTGGCTTTTCCGCTGAATGTTCAAAGATGCTCCTCGATGGTCCTCGCCAAAGAAAACATGCAGACGTCCGAGCGATGCCAAGCACAAGAGAGAAACCCCAATCAGTGGATGGCTTTCGCTGAAAGAGCGACCGGGAACCTGGGAGCCTGGGAGCCCAGAACTCGGCCCGGAGCCAATGACCGGGAACCCGGGAACCCGGAACCGGGGAACCCAGCGTGCGACCAAAATCGGCGGGACCCGCCAAATCTTTCAACTTCCGCGAGGACCCCTTCAGTGCAAGCACTGATTGGGGAATCATTGAATTAAAAAGGTGTCTAACATGTCTGAAGCATCTTCTGACAATGTTTAAAACATGTTACTTTCGTGCTTAAGATATGTTTTTTTGTTCAAACACATGTTCTAGACATCTGGAAGGTATTTGGCAACATGATTCCTCTCCATGGATCGTCATCCACAACGGTACCTCCACCAACCCTCCTCGGAAGTGGGCGCCGCCGACTCCCGTCGCGTGCCCGCCCCGAGAGAAGAGCGGCGGCACGCGCTGGAGGGGGGGGAGGCAGAGGGGGCGGGCCTTCTCTTAGGTCGGGCGTGCTCTCCTACAGGGCGGATTTGGGAAGAAGAATAAGAAATAGTCCACAGATGCTCAAGCATAGCCAAAAATAACCAAAAGATCGTCCCCCGACTATTTTTTGACTGTTTTTGAATACTCCCCCTGTAAAGGGACATGCCCGACTTAAGCCTTCTCCGAAAGCTCACATGGCCCGATGCCCTCCGAAAAACTTTGTGGGCCTTCTCCAGGGCCACGGGGAGCTTGTCGGGGCCTCTCAGAAGCCCCGCCGCTTTCGGAGAAGGCCTGATCCCACTCGCCTCCCACCTCGGCGCGCCGCCGAGTTGCGAGCGCCCCCCCGAGAGGAGGGGCCAAGCGGAACGAGACGAAGCGAAGCGAATAGAACCGCGCGGTGACTGTCTGGCGGGACCGTCCCCTGGAGGGCGGCGCGGGGGGTGGCCGGAGCACTCAGCAGTCGCTCTAGGCGACTGGCGGTCGATGTGGAGGTGGCGTGGGGAGTCGGGTGCCAAAGCCTGTATGTCGGAGTGATGATCCGGCGTGCGCAGTCTGGGCCTCGATGGGTGGTGGATGCAAGGGTGGAAAGTCGGGCGCCGGAAGCTGGAGGTCGCAGTGCTGCGTGCCGTGTGCCCAGACATGCGACGCCCTGACTTTTTCAGGACGGCGTCCCCGGAAGTCCCGACCCTTTCCCTGGGGCCCGGTTTTCATCCCGAGTCGTTTTTGGGTGCCGAGGCCCGGTAAGCGCCCCCAGAGGCCGAAAATGGCGAAAACTCCCCCCGCCATGATTTTTTCGTTCCTCGAGGGGGTCTGGGGAGGCCGAAAGGGGAAGCGCGGAGGGAGTCCTCTTGACGACGTCCATGAGCCCCCCGACGATCTGCGCAGCGCGCTGGCCCTGCGTGCGTCGGGCGGGCGCGGGGCAGGCCGCCAAGGTCAGAGGCAGAGGGGGGAAGGTCGGCGAGCGTAGAGAGAGAGAGAGAGAACACACAAAACATATCAATCTATACATATATACTAGAACCATCGCGCGCGCTTCGCGCGCGCTCAGGTTCTAGTTCAGGTCACCGCTCAGGTGCGACGCCCGCGACGATTCTTACCACGAAGACGGCGGCGTGCACTGCAAGCCACGTGTTCTGGAAGCGCCATGTTCCGGAGGAGCGTTCCCGGAGCATGGGGCGCCAGAGGCTCCCCCGGTCTTTCCCCCTCCCGGACTATCCTGCCGAGGAACTCTTGGGTTGCGTAGGGCCGGTCTTGCGGGCTCCCTGGGGCTCTCTGGGCTCGCCTGGGGCTGTTTGGGAGCGGACCTGGAGGCGCGCTGGGCTCTATTGGAGCGTCGGAAAGCCGAAAAGACAAGACGGCCAAGATCCTCCAATTCCTACGTAAAATGATCGATGTTGGCCTGTTGGGACCCTCTTGGGGCTGCTCCTGGAGGCGTCTTGAACCATGTTTGAAGCCTCTTGGGAACTACCTGGGGCCTCCTGGGGCTCTCTTGAGGCGGAAACCCTGGGTTTTCCGGACGCGGTCCGTCTCTTGGACACATCTCGGGCCTGTTTTGGGGCACTCGTGGGCTGCCCTGGGCGCTTCTTGGGCCAGCTTTGGGCTCTCCGGGACCGCCTCGGGGCGGCGTTGGGCGCTCCTGGAGCTGTTTGGGGGCGGTCTCGGAGGCCTCCTAGGCCGCCTAGGAGCGTCGGACAGCCGCAAAGATCAGAAGGCCAAAAACCTTCCAAAACTATTGTAAAACCATCAATTGTTGGCCTGCTGGGGCCCTCGTGGGAGTGCTCTTGGAAGCGTTTGGGACCATGTTGGAGGACTCTTGGGGGCTGCCTGGGGCCTCCAGGGTCACTGCTGAGGCGGGAGCCCTGGGTGTTCGGTACGCGGTCCTTCTCTTGGGCCCTTCTTGGGCTTGTTTTGGAGTCTTCTTGGGCTGTCGTGGGCGCTTCTTGGGCCAGCCTTGGGCTCTCCGGGGCCGCCTTGAGCTTGTCTTGGGGGCCTCTGGGGCTGCTTGGGGGCGGACCTGGAAACCTCCTGGGCCGTCTTGGAGCGTCGTACAACCGAAAAAAACAGAAGGCCGAAATCCTTCCAAAACCGCCGGGAAACCATACATTTTGGCCTCCCGGGGCTCTCTTGGGAGTGCTCTTGGAAGCGTCTGGAGCCATGTTGGAGGCCTCCCGAAACCTCTACCACGCGCTTCGGCAACATGGGTCGAAGGTGGGAACCATTCCTGGTGCTGAAACAGCACCAGGGTCTGTCCAGAGCCGCTCGGGAGACGCCCCGAAGCGGCTCTGGAGAGGCCCGGGGGGGGGGTCCCCCCATGGCGAGTCGAGGCAGTTGGCCAGAAGCCCCCGGCCTCGTACCCCGACAGATATATATATATATAGAGAGAGAGAGAGAGAGAGAGAAAAACAAAAGAGAGAGAGAGAGAGAGAGACAGAAAGGGAAAGACAAAGAGAGAGAACAGGGAGAACAGAGAAAGAGAGAGAGAGAGAGATGGAGAGAAAGACAAATACAAAAAAAGGGTCTGAGAGAGACAGAGACAGGGAGAGAGATGCGTGAAAACAAGCGTCTCGCTCGAGACATCCTCAACAAGTCCTCATGCCAGACATCTGCCTGGGTAACCTGGACAAGTGAAACACAGCGCCTCCCTTGAAACATCCTCAAGACCAGAGCATGTGAAAACAAGCAATTCGCCTGAGACATCCACTGCATCCTGGTCCCCAGGAGAGGAACACTATATGATATAAAAGAAGCGCTTCGCTCGAGACATCCTCAACATGTTCTGCGACACAAGCGTTTCGCTCGAGACATCCGCAACAAACGAACATGTTTGCTTTACCATTTGCTTTATCGATCATCTTTGTTTAGGAAAAAACAGCGCTTCGCACTCGACACCCTCACTATTTGATTTCGCTGGTCCTACGCGGTTTCGCATTTGATTGCGCAAGAAACTTGCTAGCCCTACGCAAGGTGAAGCCCGGCACATGGTTTACCACACTACAAGAGAGACCTGGGCCTATACCCTTTCCGGGAAAAACGTAAAACATGAATTTACAAGATCTGGGCCTGTGCCCTCCCCGGGAAAAACGGAAAAAGTGAGTTTACAGTTCGGATTGTTTTGAATGTTGCTTAATTCGGAGACAGAAAATGTACTAGAACAAGCGGTAGAAGTGAATTCGCATTTCGGGAAAACGCCAAAAGTGAGTTCGCATTTTGGAATTTCGCACCGAGCTTTCAATGGCCCGCGAAGTAGCAAGGCGGGCAGCAATGGCTGAGCGATGCGCCATCACCAACGGACGCTCAAGCGTCGCATTCCTGCCACAATGTGCCCACGAGTAGCGAGTGCCAACCGTACCTGAGCATTTGAATGGGCGATGCGAAAGCCATGAAATGGATCATGTAACGCCCATTGAGAACACCCTGTGGTGGACACCCGAATTCACCCTCCGACCAACGCGCGGCCCCAGAGGTCCTGACCCCTTCTCCAGGGGGGCCGAGAGGTCTGGGACCCCAAGCACGAACTAAAGTCGGAGCGGCGGGTGCACGGGCATGGGGCGGGAAGGGGGCAGGATGAGGAGGAGGAGGACAGGAGAGTCTGGAGCGCTTCCAGAGCGCTTTGAGACAGCCCCAGCCCCAGACACCTGACGATGTGTGTTTTTCGAGTGCGCGATCCATTTTACTCAGCCAGTGCTTACACTTAGGAGTTCTCACTTGCGTTCCAACATGCTTGGATGGGTCCCTCGAGGCGTCGGCACGCTGCCGCCCGTTGCCGCCTCGGTGCCGCCTCGCGCGCTGGGTGGGTCCGGCGAGGTTTCGCCACGTTGTCGCCCCTTGCCGCCTCTAGCTTGCATCACGCAGTTGCACCACGTAGCTCACACCGCAGAGCTTGCACCACCTAGCTCCCGCATCCACCGTGCAATCAATTAACTACTCTTTGGGGTCCGCGGTGGCCACAACATTTGATGGTCCTGGGGCCCGATAGCGGAGCCGTGAGGCCGAAGTCGGGGAGAAGTGCTGGGACTGCTGAAGAGCAGACATCGTCGGAGATCACTGGGGCAGCGGCCGCGGCCGTCAGCCGTCGTGGAGCCTGGGGGCGGGCACCGCCCAGGCCGCCCAACACCCGCGCCCGATGCACGCGTGAAGGGGGGCCATCGTGCCCCCGGCCGCCAGATACTCGACCGATCGACTGATCGACCGACCGATCGATCGGTCCTCGCACTACCATGACGGTCCTCGATCGATGCTCGCTCGAGCGACCGATCGACCCTCGGTCGACCATGGCGTTCCTCGACACACCCGTCTTCGATCGACCGCTCATGATCGACCGATCGATCGACAACGACGACGACGAGGGCCGGCGCGGCGGTCCTCGACGCTCCGACCCCGCGCAGGCAGGCTCAGCGTCAGCCTCGCCTCCACGAAGGCGGCGGTGGCGACCATACACGTCCTCCGCCGCCGCCGCGGCGGGTCCCGTGCGGGGCTCCCGCCTGCCGCCGCCGCCGCAGCCGTCGTCGTCGTCGTCGTCGTCACCGCCGCCTTCGTCGTCGCCGCCGCCGCCACAGCCACCTTCGCCTTCGCCGCCGTCGTCGTCGCCGTCGCCGTCGCCGTCGCCGTCCCCGCCGCCGCCGCCGCCGCCGCAGTCGCCGGCGCCGCAGTCGCCGTCGCCGTCGCCGCCGTCGCCGTCGCCGACGTCGCCGCAGTGGTCATCGTCGCCGCCGCCGTTGTCGCCGCCGCCGTCATGGTGGAAGCGAGGCGCAGCGTGAGCTCCGCGCCAGCTGGGGTGCTCTTTCCGACGGCGGGCCCCGCTCGAGACCTTCGGCGCGAGGCGTGGCCCGGGGCGTGGCTCGAGACCTTCGGCCCCGGCAGCGACGACAACGGCGGCGAAGACAGAGGGCAGCAAGACCATCATAAGAGAATCGGGCCGGACGAAAGGGGGGGATTGGGAAAGGGGGGATACGAAATTTGCTGCATGCAGCTGGTTTCGGCCCCGCCGCCGGGCCCACTCCTCGATGCATGGGCGCCTCCCGGGCGCCTCCCGGCGCTGGGAGGCGCCGGGAAAAACCGCTACGTGAGCTGATTCTCAACCCCCCCTTTGCTATCCCCCCCTTTCGCCCGACCCGAGAGAACACCCCGACAGGCGAAGCCGTTCAGTAAACGCGTGCGAGGAAGGATTCGAGCAGGGCAGGGCTGCTCAGCAAGCGCCCAGGGCTGTTAAGCAAGCGTCATGTTTTTTTCAAGACGGCGTCTCCGGAAGTCCCGACCCTTTCCCCGGGGCCGGTTTGTCATCCCGAGTCGTTTTTTGACGCCCCCCCCCCCTCGAGGGCCCCCCAAGGGCCGAAAATAGCGAGAAGCTTTCCGTTCTGGGCATTTTGCGACGCGAGCATGTCTGGGGAGGCTCCTCTTGAAGAGAGGAGGGCCAGCGACGGCGGAGCGCAGAGCAGCAGCCTCGAGGGACGCCGTCGGGGGCCACCTCGGCCACCTTGGCGCCGAGCTCGGATCGGAATCGACATCGGCGTGGATATGGGGGTCGGGGTGGCTATTCCTCCCGTGTGAAAAGGGGGGCCCACGACGGCGGCGGCAGCGACGAGCATCAAGTCGGGCCTGTCCCCCGACAGGGGGATTGTCGACGACAAATCAGAAGTACCCCAAACATAGTCCACAAAAAGAATCCAAACATAGTCTGGGGACTATTTTTCGAATACTTGTTGACCTTTTTGGGGTGTTTTTCATTTTTCGTCGAAACTCCCCCTGTAGGGGGACGCGCCCGACTTAGAACGAGCAGCACCCCCCCTCCTCCTCCTCCTTCTCCTCCTCCTTCTCCTCCTCCTCCTTCTCCTCCTCCTCCGCCTCCTCCTCTTCCTCCTCCCTCCTCCTCCTTCTCCTCCTCCTCCTAGCGGCGGCAGCAACGAGCAACACACTCGAGGGACGCCGTCGGGGGCCACAGCGGCGCCGAGGAGGGATCGGCATCGATCTCGGCGCAGGTGGGCGCAGGCGGGCGGCGGCCGCGGCGCGGGGCCCAAACTCCCGACGGTGAACGTGTTTTGTCAATGTCTGGAGGCCTGGAGAACAGAGGGGCCGCCTCCAGGAGGAGGAGGAGGGGGATGGGGGAGGAGGGCAAGCTAGGTGCGCTCGCATCATATCTGACATCCTACCCCTCCCTCCCATCCCTTACCATGGCGCTGATTTTCTGTATCCGCGGACGCGTGTCGTAGCGGACCTGTGGCTCCGCGCGCGTGTGCGTAGTGGGTGGTGGTGCGCGTGCGTGCGTGCGTGTGTGCGTGGTTGTGGTTGTTGTGGTGGTGGTGTGTGTGTATGTGTGTGTGTGTGTGTGCGTGTGTGCGCGTGTGCTGTGGTGTGACGTGGTGTGGCGTCTTGGTGGTTTGGTGGTGGCCAGGTGCGTACGTGCGTGATGGCGGTGGTGGTGGTGGTGGTGGCGGTGGTGTGTGTGTGTGTGTGTGTGTGTGGTGTGTGTGTGTGTGTGTGTGTGTGTGTGTGTGTGTGTGTGCGTGCGTGCGTGCGTGCGTGCGTGCGTGCGTGCGTGCGTGCGTGCGTGCGTGCGTGCGTGCGTGCGTGCGTGCGTGCGTGCGTGCGTGCGTGCGTGCGTGCGTGCGTGCGTGCGTGCGTGCGTGCGTGCGTGCGTGCGTGCGTGCGTGCGTGCGTGCGTGCGTGCGTGCGTGCGTGCGTGCGTGCGTGCGTGCGTGCGTGCGTGCGTGCGTGCGTGCGTGCGTGCGTGCGTGCGTGCGTGCGTGTGTGTCTGTGTGTGCGCGCGTGTGATGTGGTGTGACGCGGTATAGCGTGGTGGTGGTGGGTGGGGTAGTGCGGTGGTGGTGGCGGTGCGCGGTGGTGGTGCGCGTGCGTGCGTGCGTGCGTTGGTGGGTGGAAGTGGCGGTGGGTGTGCGTGCGGCGGGGCGGGGCGTGGTGCGGCGCGGTGGTGGCGGGCGGATGGGCGCGCGAGAAAGAGGCCCGCGCTGGGGCGAGAACGCCATCCTGAACGACGGAGGCAAAACACCGATCCGAAAATGAGGCCCACGCTGCAGCGGGAGCACGATTCGGAACGATTCGGGAGCAGAAATGAGGCCGGCGCCTCAGCGAGAGCAGCATTTTGGAAAAAAAAAAAAAACGCAAGCGAAAACCCAACTCCGGGGAATCGTGCGTGTAAAAAACAGTACGCGTGGGGGGCGAATACGCAAAAGACGTCATCAGGGGAAGAGGGAGAGTAGTATTCATATTGAGTAATTGTGGAGGAGGAGGAGGAGGAGGAGGAGGAGGAGGAGGAGAGGAGGAGGAGGAGGAGGAGGAGGAGGGGGAGGGGGAGGAGGAGGAGAAGGGGGAGGAGGGGGGAGGAGGAGGAGGAGGAGGAGGAGGAGAGGAGGAGGAGGAGGAGGAGGAGGAGGAGGAGGAGGGAGGAGGGAGGAAGAGGAGGAAGAGGAGGAGGAGGAGGAAGAGGAGGAGGAGGAGGAGGAGGAGGAGGTTGTTGTGGAGCGGGCTAAACCCAGGTTGCAATTTAAAATAAGACGCCCTCTGAATCGGAGGCCTCGTCGTCCTCCCACTCATCGTGGGCTCGACGCTCAGCTTCCCCCAAGGCTCTCACCTGTGGAAGCTCGCTCTCCAGCAGGCCGAAAGCTCGAAGGACGTCTGACTTCGACGCAAACCCTCGGGCAAGAGCAGGGTCAACAGAAGGTGCCGACGTAGCCCTCAGATCTGTCGGCCCCCCCCCCCGGACAGCCAGCAAATCACGCTCTGGCTGCCCAAGCCCCCGCGGACTGCCGAGGCGCAACTCTTTCGTAGTCGCCCTTCCGTGCGGGTGCTTGCCGTCGCGGATCCGCTTGATCTGCGAAGCAATTTGGGCCGAAGCAGGTCTGCCCTTGCAAACATCGAGCAACGCTTCATTCGGCCGGAAATCCGTGCAGTATCCGCCGCAGCGGTAACAAAAGGTTACGACCTCTCCTCGCCTGCGAGGGTCGTCCACATCACAACTCAGGAGACCGTGGCCGCCCAGGTAAAAGGCGCTGGCGGCCAGGCCTTCCCAATCGTCGAAATGCTTCACCCCCGCCCTGGACGACGACCAATCCGACGACGACAGCTCCCCCCTCTCATCCACGCCAACGCTGTCTGCCACCGGCGGGGCCTCGAAAGAGTCAGGAACTGACTCGTGCGAGGCAGCATCCAAGCCAACCGTGTCGTGGCGCGTTTCGCCCACAGACTAAAGGTGCACCTCGAAGGACCCGCTCCAGCGGGCCGCCTCACAAGCAAGAGCCTTGAAACCGTTATACAAATCCACGTCCGACTCGGAGAGGCTATGCTTAGCAGCGCCCATTTTCGCATACTGATCCACCGAGTCGTTGGCTCTCTTCTCCCAGATGGTGGTCTTGCCCTCACGCTCGTCGTTCATTGACGCGTGCGCGAGGGTTTTGACAGCAACCACATCCGAGGCCCCAAAGTTAGACAAAAACGGACTCCACATGTGGGCGCGCGGGTCGCCCGCCGAAGTGCCAGCCTGAGAGCCCGCCCAAAGCACTCGAAACGTCCCCTCACAGTCAACAAACAGATCTACCGGAGCCATCGCGCACTGAGTGAGCATAAACACAGCATAATCTTCCGCGTCCTTGGCCGTCTGCCGAGGAGGAGGAGGAGGAGGAGGAGGAGGAGGAGGAGGAGGAGGAGGAGGAGGAGGAGGAGGAGGAGGAGGAGGAGGAGGAGGAGGAGGAGGGAGGAGGAGGAGGAGGAGGAGGAGGAGGGGAGAGGAGGAGGAGGAGGAGGAGGAGGGAAGGGAAGAGGTGGAGGAGGAGGGCAACTCGCAATTTTCCGACGCCTCGCTCAAAAAACACCCTCGAGATGGCCGCCGGCCTCGCGGGGCACCACCAGCAAAACAGGGGGCCGCCTCCACCAATCCTAGATTCTGGCGTCAGTGTCTTCGGTCATCTAGGTGGCAGGAACATCACCACCACCACCACCGAAACCGGGATCATCTGCCCTTGGCGGAGGCGCACCGCCGAGTTTGGTTTCGGTGTCAACCTCTAGGCCTCAAAGCTGGCCCAGGCGAGGCTTGGGCACACCGATCCGTACTTCGTCCTGTCGCTCGACCTGGAGCAATGTTTCGACCGTATTGCTTTAAACAATCTGCATGCTCTTGCTTCGCATTTGGGGCTGCCGGCCTGCACCCACGCGATCAGCAATTACCAACGGCTTACAAGGATAGTTTGTTGACAGCCAGCCGTCTGACGTGTGGCTGCAAGGCGATAATCTTGTCGGGGTGCCGCAGGGATGCCCTCTCGCATGTCTTCTGTGCAACATTACATCTGTTATGTGGCATTTTGCTGTGGCCCGCGCTGTTCCTGAAGCAATGGATCTTGTTTGGATGACAGGTTCATCATGGCCAGGTCTTGGGAGGAGCTTTCTCCCGCCTTGGAGGCCACGCAATTGATCGACCTCTCGATTGGGCCGAACTTGAAACTATCGAAATGCGCTCGTGGTGCGGTGGTGGCCATCGGTTCCAGAATGCTCAAATGTTCCGTCACTGCACTAGCCCGGATCACATATCGCAAGACGTTCCGCTACCTCGGGATCGACCTCGTGATGGGCCAGGCGATGACCATGCCGGTCGCTGCACGACGGCTCCATGTTTATCGGGATCGCCTCCAGGTGGTCAAGCTGCTACCCTTCGCCAAGCGCGGCGCCGGCGTCGCTGACGCCACTGCCACACTCTGGCGTGATGAGGGTTCTGCACATACTCAGTCACAGATGATGTCGGCATCCTCGTGGGCGGCTTCTGCTATCACGGGCAAATCTAGAGCTGAGACCACATTGCGGCGCTCGCGGCCTACCACTCACAATTTGGGCCCCCGCAAGCATCGTACTCACCTCTCTTGCGCGTCCATGTACACTACGACCTGGGAGACGTAAGACTCGGGTACGAGGGACTCGGGTTGGCCCGACGGGGGGCATCATAAAAATGACGAGACCCAATCTGGAATTTGACGCGGGCTCCCGCCGCAGACATCCCACGAAAACTGGACCGTCAAAATCCAAGACGCGCTCGTCAAAAAACTTCGGCAGACCCGAGTTCCGGCAGCTCTGTGGAACCAGCGTGCACGCCTTCCGTTCGGACCTCTTGCCCTTCTCCAGCGTGCCTGTGCGACGCTGGCTGTCGAGTGGCCCACCGCAGCCACATCTACCTTTGCCACTTTCACGCTCGACTTTTCCGTCCGTGCTCAGCTCCTTCAGCAGCGGGCTGATCGGAATGCTGCACACAGTCTCTGCAAGGCAGCCACAGTTGACGCTCGTCTCCACGCTCTCCCCACATGCCTGCGCAAGCGTGTCGCTGCTCAGGAGGCGGCCCGCCGCCCGGAGCATCTCGGCGGTCTGGAGCTTGGGCTCTCGGAGGACCGGGAGAATCGAGAACACATGTACGGAATGCAGCTTCACTACAGCGGCCCGGCCTTGACGACGGGCGGCTTGTGGACGTCGCTCAAAATCGTTCACATACCTTTCCACAACTGCGATGAGTTCTGTGCTCGTTGTGGCGCTGCTGTCAAGACGCTGACACATCGTTTGTGGGAATGTCCTTGCAACTCTGCTCAACGACGTACCCTCGACATTCGAGCACCAGGCAACGATGTTCCTCGTGGCCCACCACCTTGTCTGGCCCGCTGCGGCCTTCTGCCGGCCCATCTTGGAGTCGATCCAGTCCCTGGCCTGGAGGATGCGAAGGCCATCTCCGATTATCTTCTGCGTGTGAACGCTATTGCCGCTCTGGCCGTGGTGGCCCGGCGCGAGGGCAGGCCAGTCCTTCTGACCTTGGATCAGCCCCGGGCGCGTCGAATGGATGACATATATCGTGCCGCTCTTCCTCCTCGTCGTCGTAACGAACGGCCCGTTGGAGGGCAGGGCCCAAGAGGGGGAGCACCTAGAGGGCTACATCTTCCTCCTCAACCAACTCCTGGTTTGTTCCAAGCGCCAGAGGTCATCGCGCTCTCCTGCGACGGCTCCGCGCAGCAGTCCACTGACGAGACGGCCTCCCGCTGGGGCTTTACTGTTGCCGGCCTCGACCGGCTTATTGGATTTCTGTGGCCCACAATATTGGACCCTGCTCAGCATGGACTTGTCGGCGCACAACATCACACCAATAATGTCGGGGAGTTATCGGCAGGTTATTTTTCATTGTGTTGGATTCGTGAATTCATGTCTTCCTCATCTCTTCATCAACGATTGCGGTCGAGTATGATTCTGCGTATGCCGCCGGCGTGGCACAGCGGCACATCCGAGCACGGGCGAACCTTCAGCTTGTTTTGCGGCTTCGCCACATCTTTGATCAGGTCGCTGGTCGTGTTGTTTTCAGAAGTCGAGAGACATACTGGGCAATATTTGAACGAGCGTGCTGATCACCTGGCTGATTGCGGTGCCTCTGGAATCTTACGTGACCCGGTTGATGTACATCGCTGGGCGAGCTCCTCGAGCCAATCTGTGGCACTGTGAGGCCAGGCAGCCCCTGACCATTCTCGACGCAGGCCTCCGACGATGCGACGCCCTAGGAGGGCCCCTTCCCCTGTGCCAGGGGTGGTGTCCCGCCCGAGCTCACTCTGCGGCAGCGTGATCTGGCTGTCTGACCAGATGGTCCGATGGTCCCGAGGGCCGGTCGCGGGCCCCGTAAGCTGAAGCCAGGGTGAGGGGCAGCATCGGACAGTAACAAGTGGCACGCGTGCCCTGGCTCTTGCACCAAGGAGCCGCGAGGGACAGGAGGCTTTCGTCTCCTTCCTCCAGGAGTTTCCTTCCGGGGCCGGGGGGTGGGTGACGAACGACGAACGAACGAAGAACGACGACGGAGATAAAGAGGTCCGAGCTCTAGAGCACAGCTGCGCAAGATAGTAAAGAGGTCCGAGCTCTAGAACACAGCTGTGAAAGATATAATAGATCAGGAGTCTCTACGGTCCGGCGGCTCTGGAGGAGGTATCAGGCGCAGCGGTCTTCGCAGAGCGTCCTGGCGCGCCCCGAGAGCGTCCCGAGACGGTCTGGCACGGCTTATCCCTGCTCTAGCTCCGCCTGGCCCCGGAGGCAGCCGACCTCGAGGGTGCACGCCCGGGTTGAAAACGTCACGCCGTCGGAGATCTCAGAGACCTCCCAGATGGGGTCCGAGTGCATGGGTCGGAGGATCGCGCCGCATCTCCAATGCATCGCCACTGCCTCGCCGATGTACTGGCTCCACTCGGCGGCGAGCGAGGGGGTGAAGCGAGAAGGAGAAAGCCTTCTTAGAAGGCTCGGAAGTCCCCTGGGCCTTTTGAGAAGCTGTCTAAGCCTTCCCCGAAGACAAGAGACACTGCTCAGAAGGCGTGACGGCTTCTAAGAAGTCCCGCCGCCTTCTGAGAAGATCTTCTCCTTCTCACTTCCCCCCCTCGCTCGCCGCCGATCCACATCGAGCCGCATCGCCGACGCATCGGCGATGCCGCACGATCTTCCGACCCCATCTACTCGGGCCCTCTGGGAGGCCTAGAGACCCTGCGTACGAACACATGGGCAATTACGATGCCCAACAACACATGCTGTCCTAAACCCACGGCGGCCGCTGTTGGGCAGGCGGCCTCCTGCCTCAAACGGACAACGTCCGAGGCGACACCGACAGCGAGGCCTGCCAGAGGGAGGAGGAAGGAGGGAGAAGGGAGGAAGGAGGAGGGAGAAGGGAGAAGGGCGGAGGGAGGGAGGAGGAGGAGGAGGGAGGAAGGAGGAGGGAGAAGGGAGGCGGAGGATGGAGAAGGGAGAAAGGGGGAGGAGGGATGGAGTGGGATGTGAGCAGGAGGGAGGAGGGAGGAGGGAGGATAGGGAGGAGGAGGCCTCGTTGTCGGTCTTCGCACGTGGGGAAGCCAACGGCCACCGACACCACAGGCACCGCCTCCGCAACAGCGGGGGCCACTGCCAGGAAACACCCTCCTCCTCCTCCTCCTCCACCTCCTCCTCCTCCTCCTCCTCCTCCTCCTCCTCCTCTTTTTCTCTCTTCTTCTTTTTCTTTTCATTCTCTTTTTCTTCCTCCTCCTTCTCCTCCTCCTCCTCCTCCTCCTCCTCGTCCTCGTCCCCCTCCTCCCCCTCCCCCTCCTCCTCCTCCTCCTCCTCCTCCTCCTCCTCTCCTCCTCCTCCTCCTCCTCCTCCTCTCCTCCTCGCCTCTCCTCCCTCCTCCACCTCCTCCTCCTCCTCCTCCTCCTCCTCCTCCTCCTCCTCCTCCTCCTCCTCCAGTTCCTCCTCCTCCTCCTCCTCCTCCTCCTCCTCCTCCTGCTCCTCCTCCTGTTTCGATGTTTTCTTTCCATGGGAATCGTGACGTTCCCGCGCCAAAAATCAATGGACGTCCTCGTGTCTCAGGGTTGGGTTCCTTGTGGGAGGTTTCTTGTGGACTGACCTCCACTGTATACTCCCTGGCCCTCTCCTCGGGTGCCTTCGGACCAGAATTTCGAGGCAACTCCAGCGGTGGCGACGAGGGCCTCTCAGGAAGCCATAAACGACGGAAAAGAGGCCAGGGTAGCGGCATCGATACCCACTTCCAGACATGCGACGTCCTGACTTTTTTCAACACGGCGTCCCCGGGGCCGGCTCCTCATCATGGGTCGTTGTTTGACGGTCCCGGGGCCTGGCGGGGGCCCCCAGGAGCCGAAAATAGCGAAAAGCTTGCCGTCCTGATTATTGTTTCGACGCGAGCATGGCTGGGCTTCGATCGCACGGAACCCCGGGCGGGGCCCCTCCTGGGCAGGACATACTGGCCGGGGGCGTCGATGTTCACGTCGCCCCCCTTGCTGCCGCCCCAGCCACCGCCGGAGACTGCCTGCCCCCCACACGTATGCGCATATGCAGCGCCCGCTGTGCTGGAGCGAGAGCGGAGATGGGGAAAGCACGCTTGGGGGGAAGTCACGTGTTTGACCACGGACGGCTCCTGTCCAAGGCGTACCTTTTCCTGTGCAAGCTCTTCGGCACCGCCTGTACCTCGCGCCCTCCGGCCGCCTGAGGCCCCGCCCGCCCGCTGCGCCCTGTCTCCCCAATTAGTGCTTCGCGCGCCCCGCCTAGCTCTTAACCGGACGAGGCCCGCTCTCGATTCGCCGACCAAAAAAGTTCGACCACGGACCCCTTGCTACCCATCGCCCCTGGGCCGTCTTCGGCGGTCTTCGGAAGGTCTTGGGCGGTCTTCTGACGTTCTTCGGCGGGTTCCGGCGGTCTCCGCCGGTTTAGGAACGCTTCAAGAGAACAAACAATGACATAAACGTAAAAAACTCAAACGGTCCGCGCGGATTTCTCAGATTGGCGCTGGACCCCCTCTTGGTGGGCCCTGGAAACGACAGGGCCCTTGTATCACCGGTTCTGTCTTGCCGTTTTTCTTGCCGGTTCCGACGCCGTCTTTTTGCCGGTTCCGTCGCCGCTTCTTTTCCGGTCCTGGCTCCAGCTCCAAGCCTGGAGCCGTTGCTTTGCCATTTCCAGTCGGCGCTTTCTTGCAGCTTCCACTTTCAAGAAACACTTTCTCGGCAGCGGTGAAAGAACGGCCCTGCCAATTCCGGGGCCCACTAAGGAGCCCCTGGTATGCTCCCCGACGCTTGGCGGGAAGGCAAAGGGGGCATGGTATGCTGCACCTTCGGGGGACCTCGGTTGTCCCGTCGCGCCCCCTTATCCGCGTCGAATCCACGTCGGACTGCTCGAGTCCGCGTCGAATCCACGTCGAATCAGCCTCGCATCCACGCCAAATCCGCGTCGAGTGCGCATGGAACCCGCGTCGGGGGCACAATAGTAGACATCAATTTGGGGGGCCGACGAGGTCCCCCGGAGATGCAACGTAAGGCATGATGCCCACTTCGGCCGGTAGTTTTCGCTTAGCGTTTCGTCGCCGCGGCGGCCCTGGTGACACGCTACGCCTTGCAGGTGGGGCCCGGCGGGGGGGTAGGATTATGTCGGGCCTGTCCCCCATACAGGGGGATGTTGGACGAAATATATATATATATATATATATATATATATATATAAACCCAAACATGTTCAACAGATGTCCCAAAATACTAAAAAAAATCATCCCCGGACTATTTTTTGACTATTTTTGAATATCCCTCCTATAGAGGGACAGGCCCGACTTAAGACTGGGCGCGTGGAAAGCGTGTCGCGCCGACGCGTGGTGGGCCAGAACCAGCGGAACGACACGCACAGCCAAAGTTCCCGACCGTAGCGCGTGCATCGGTCTGCTTGTACCTCCCGACCGTCGCCGGAAAGCCCCCCCCCCTTCCTCTCTCCTCGCTCCTCCACTCCTCCTCCTCCTCCCTTCTCCTCCTCCTCCCCCTCCTCCTCCTCCTCCTCCTCCTCTTCCTCCTCCTCCACCTCCTCCTCCTCCTCCTCCTCCTCCTCATCCTCCTCCTCCTCCTCCTCCTCCTCCTCCTCCTAGCCATTTCGCGTCCGCGCGCCCCCCCCCCTGCACCGGGCCCCTTGGACGATGCGGCGCGCAAACTTCGAAGTGGTGCTGCGCGCCCGAATCATGAAAAAGCAGCGCGGAGCCCCACGTCATCAGCTACAACGCTGAGATCAGGCGAGCGCGCAGCTGCCAGGATGCCCGCCCCCTCCCGCCCCCCCCTCCTCCTCTCCGTCTCCACCCTCCTCCACCTCCTGGCAGACCGGGGCGCCAGCCGATGCGGCGCCGCGGGCAGAATGCGGGGACAACAGAGTCGTGATCAGCTACAGCCTAGGGATCAGGCCGTGAGAGAAGACCAGCAGTGGCAGGCAAAGCTGACGCTGCGAGAAGCAAGCAGTGGCAGCCAGAGCTGGCGCTGCGACAGGGACGACGGCGCGGGTGGGCCACGATCAGCTACAACGCTGGGAGCAATCCGTGCGAGAAAGGGAGCGCGCAGTGGCAGCGGACGGTGGCGCTGTGCAAAATGCGCGGGTGGGCCACGATCAGCCGCAACGCTGGGAGTCGTCCGTGCGAGAAGGAGGGCCTGCGAGAAGCGGGAGGCGAAGCTGGAGCCCGCGCGTTTTTTCTAGCTAGCGCCTCAGGGAACAGCGCGGGTGAGAAAAGCGAGCAATGTTCTGCCGCGGCCATCCTGCGAGAAGTGGGAGGCGAAGGCAGAGCCCGATGTCGACAGCTACAGCGCTGGGATCGGGGCAAGCCGCTGCGAGAAGAGGGAGGCGAAGCTGGAGCCCGAGCATCTCTTCTAGCTAACGCCTCTGGGAACAGTGCGCGCGAGAAAAACGAGCAATGTTCTGCCGCTGCCATCCTGCGAGAAGTGGGAGGCGAAGGCAGAGAACGATGTCGACAGCTACAGCGTCGGGATCGGGGCAAGCCGCTGCGAGAAGAGGGAGGCGAAGCTGGAGCCCGAGTGTCTCTTCTAGCTAACGCCTCTGGGAACAGTGCATTCGAGAACAGCGAGCAATGTTCTGCCGCGGCCATCCTGCGAGAAGTGGGAGGCGAAGGCAGAGCCCGATGTCGACAGCTACAGCGTTGGGATCGGGGCAAGCCGCTGCGAAAAGAGGGAGGCGAAGCTGGAGCCCGAGTGTCTCTTCTAGCTAACGCCTCTGGGAACAGCGCGTGCGAGAAAAGCGAGCAATGTTCTGCCGCGGCCATCCTGCGAGAAGTGGGAGGCGAAGGCAAAGCCCGATCTCGACAGCTACAGCGTTGGGATCGGGGCAAGCCGCTGCGAGAAGAGGGAGGCAAAGCTGGAGCCACACGTCGTATAGCTAACACCTCTGGGAACAGCGTGTGCGAAAAGAGCGCCACCCTGCGAGAAGTGGGAGGCGAAGGCAGAGCTAACGCCTCTGGGACCAGTGTGTGCGAGAAGAGCGCCATCCTGCGAGAAGTGGGAGGCGAAGGCAGAACCCGACGACGTCTGCTACAGCGTTGGGATCTGGGCAAGCCGCTGCGAGAAGAGGGAAGCAATGCTGGAACCAAACGTCACCTTCCTAGCCACCACCGTGCGCTGGGAGAAGAGGGAGGCAAAGTTGGAGCCCGACTCTATCTAGCTACACTCGCTAGAAGCAGCGCGTGCGAGAAGTGCAGGGGCCAACGAACGGGTTCCGGCGCGAAATGGCAGGGCACGGACGAGCTACCCTCAGTTACAGTGCAGGGATCAGCCCGTTGTGCGAGAGCAGGAGTGGAGAAATCCACTCGTGCGAGAAGGGGGAAGCAAGCAGGCAGTGGCAGCGGGGCTGCCCAAGCGTGCGGGCGAGAAGCAGGCAGTGGCAGCGTGCTGCCACGGCGTGTCTCAGTGTCCTGGGGGCGATCCTCGGAAGGTCTCTGGGCGTTTGAATCGTTGGGGGAACGGCGACACCCGACCACCAACCGCCTTTTCTGATGCAGCCCATGTCGCCCAGGAGAGGCCTGGGGGATGGTGCTGTCTCATCGTCGGTCGCGCTCTCTTGCTCATGGCGCGGAAGGTCAGGATGGCAGAATCCTCGTAGCAGAATCCTCCACCTCCTCCTCCTCCTCCTCCTCCTCCTCCTCCTCCTCCTCCTCTCCTCCTCCCTCCTCTGTTCCTCTGCTCCTCCTCCTCCTCCTCCTCCCTCCTCCCTCCTCCCTCCTCCCTCCTTCCGTCCTCCCTCCTCCTCCTCCTCCATCCTCCTCCTAGCTCCTTACCCTCCCCTCCCTCCTCCTCCTCCTCTCCTCACTCCTCCTCCTCCTCCTCCTCCTCCTCCTCCTCCTCCTTCCTCCTCCTCCTCTCCATCCTCCTCCTCTCCTCCCTCCCCCTCCTCCTCCGTCCTCCTCCACCCCCCCCTCCTCCTCCTCCTCTCCTCCTCCTCGCTCCTCCTCCTCCTCTCCCTCCTCCACCTCTACCTCGCTCCGCCTCCTCCTCCTCCTCCTCCTCCTCCTCCTCCTCCTCCTCCTCCTCCTGCGCCCCCCTTCTCCTTCTCCTCCTGCGCCCTCCTCCTCCTCCTCCTCCTCCTCCTCCTCCTCCTCCTCCGCAGCAGCAGCTCTTCGAGCGGGGCGTGGCCAGCGAAAGTGGCAAGGAATGGACCGAGGAGGCAAGGACGCAGGGGTACCCCTGGGAAGGCTTACCATCCTTACTATGCGGCTTGACTGTATCGGGGTTTGCGCATGCGTGTCACCTGCGAGCGGTATTTGTGTGCTTCTTTCGCGTCCTCCTCGAACATCCGCCAACGGTTCCGTCGCCTCGCTGGAGGATGTTCGTGACTTTATTTCCCTGCACCGCCTACGTTCTACAGCCCTGCGGACGGGTATGCCCAGCACTGTCTGGGGTCTGCTTTTTAACGCAGGGGCCCACACAGGAAGGTAATCGTTGCATGGCACAGCCCGCTTGCGATCCGTCTCATGCTGGTTGTGGCCGGGCGGCGCGTCGGAGGAACAGCGCGCGCAACACTCCACGCAGGCTGCGCAATGCGAGCTGGTGCGCACCGCAGGCTGCGGACCAAATGCTGAGACGCATCGGGGACAGAGGAAAAACGGTGCACTAAAACTGACCAACAGCGTGTCCTTCCACTCGGAAGAGCCAGCTAACTACCTGAAAGGAGTTGCTCACCTGCTTGGTTGGGAACCTTGAGATATGTTGATATCTAGACACACACATGTATCGATAGATAGACATGTATACATATAGTTGTATGTATGTATGTCTGTCTGTCTGTCTGTCTGTCTGTTTGTTTGTATGTATGTATGTATGTCTGTATGTATGCCTGTATGTCTGTTTTTTATGTATGTATTCCTATATATATCTCTATATATATGTATTATCAAAGGCAGCAACGTGGAATAGGGATTCCCCGCTGCAATGTCCCGGCGGAGAACCGCGGGCCACGCGGAGGCTCGTCGTCGGGCCCTCCGCCAGTGGCTCCTCCTTCTTCTCCTTGTCGTCCCCCTCCCCCTGCCCCCCCCCAGCCCATCCCCCTGCTGTTGCTCAGTCTTCCTCCTCGCCCTCGTCGTCGTCGTCGTCCTGGTCGTCGTCGTCGTCGTCGTCGTCGTCGTCGTCGTCGTCGTCGTCGTCGTCCCCCTCCTCCTCGCCCGGTTGCGGTTGCGGTTGCGCGCCCGCGGGCGCTTTGAAATGTGTCGCCCGGTTGCGGTTGCGGTTGCGGTTGCGCGCTCCCGCGGGCGCTTTGAAATGTGTCGTGCGGTTGCGGTTGCGGTTGCGGTTGCGCGCCCGCGGGCGCTTTGAAATGTGTCGCCCGTTGCCGGTTGCGGTGCGCGCTCCCGCGGGCGCGAAATGTTGTTGCGGTTGCGGTTGCGCGCCCGCGGGCGCTTTGAAATGTGTCGCCCAGTTGCGGTTGCGGTTGCGGTCGCGCGCGCTCCGGTTGCGGTTGCTTTGAAATGTGCTCGCCGCGGGCGCTTTGCGGAAATGGGTTGCGCGCCCGCGGGCGCTTTGAAATGTGTCGCCCGTTGCGGTTGCGATGCGGTGCGCTCCCGCGGGCGCTTTGAAATTGTCGCCCGGTTGGGTGCGGTGCGCGCCACCGCTGGGCGCTTTGAAATGTGTCGCCCGGTTGCGGTTGCGGTTGCGGTTGCGCGCTCCCGCGGGCGCTTTGAAATGTGTCGCCCGGTTGCGGTTGTTGGGTTGCGCGCCCGCGGGCGCTTTGAAATGTGTCGCCCGGTTGCGGTTGCGGTTGCGGTTGCGCGCTCCCGCGGGCGCTTTGAAATGTGTCGCCCGGTTGGTATAAAAAAATATATTCGCAAGACCACCCACCTGCATCAGTGTCGCTTGGGCCCGGTCCGCCTGGCATGTGATTTCGCGCCCATGCCTTTTCGAATGGGTGCACTCCGAGCTCGCGCAAAGGAGGTCAAATGAGGCCCCCGACCCGAACCAGCTCCAGAGCCTGGACTCCGGCCTCCTCCGACGACGGGCAGCAGCGGCGGCGCCCGCAAAAAGCTCGCGCAGAGGAGGCGGAGAAGGAACCGAGCGTAGGGGCCGCGTGTCGGCCCACAGGAGGAGGAGGAGGAGGAGGAGGAGGAGGAGGAGGAGGAGGAGGAGGAGGAGGAGGAGGAGGGAGGAGGAAAAGGAGAGTAGAGGAGGAGGAAAAAAAGAGGAGGAGGAGGAGGAGGGAGGAGGAGGGGGGGGGGGGGGGGGGGGGAGGGGGGGGGGAGGAGGAGGAGGAGGAAGAGGAGGAGGAGGAAGGAGGAGGAAGGAGGAGTAGGATGAGGAGGGAGGAGGGAAGTGTGAGGAGGAGGAGGAGGAGGAGGAGGAGAGGAAGGGAGGAAGGAGGAGGAGGAAGAGGAGAGGAAAAGGAAGGAGGAGAAGAAAGTGAGAGATAGGAGGAAGATGAAGAGGAAAAGGAGGTAAAGGAGGAGGAGGAGGAGAGCCCCCCTCCTCCCATCCTACCCCCTCCTCCTCCTCCCTTCCCCCTCCTCCTCCCTCCTAATTCCTTTGTCCTTTCCCCCTCCTACCCTCTCGTCCTCCCTCCTCTTACCATCGGGCGTCAGGGCCCTCAGGGCAGTGCCATCGCCGGCAGCACGCCTCAACGCGTGCCACCTCGGCGGCACGCGGACACCGGCACGAAACACACGTGAAGCTGCAGCTGCAAGGGTTCGAGCAGGCAATCGACTACAGAATCCATCTACCCTAAAATTGGCTTGTTCGTCGAATGTGTGAGAAGTGCGTAAAATGTTCGTAGATCTGCGAGCCCTCGACCAGAAAACCAAATCTGGGGTAAATCAACTCTGCAGTCGATCCCCTACGCGAAGGGTCGGGAGCCCGTCCCAACAGACTCGTGCAGCAGGCCACGAGAAGCAGCCAGGACGCACCAGTCACGTTGACTCGCTGTGCTGAGGTCTTAGAACGGTGGCCTGGCACGAGTTCGTATTGCCTGAAAGACAACCACACTGATTCGCGGCATGGAAATCCAAGGAATGTTGTTTTGGCTTCCAATGGGAGACGTCCCGCAATCATCATATTTTTTGTAGGGACCTATGAAGACTTGGACATTGATGAGTCTGGGGTTTGCACCTATGAGGGTTTCTTGCAACGTCATTGATGGGTCTGGGGTTTGCACTGGTCCTCCTCCTCCTCCTCCCTCACCCCGCCGCGAACATTCACCCCTCGAACCTTGATGCCCCCCCTCCTCCTCCTCCTCCTCCTCCTCCTCCTCCTCCTCCTCCTCCTCCTCCTCCTCCTCCTCCTCCTCCTCCTCCTCCTCCTCCTCCTCCCCCTCCGCCCCACCCCTGCGCAGCCGTGCCGCGGATGGCGGGCGGATCGGTTTCAAAGTGTGCCTCTCGCCTCAGCGCCGCGCACAGTCGTCTTAGAAGCTTGCCGTTGCTTCCAGGATGGACGGCGGATCGTTTTCAGAATGCGGCTATCGCTTAGCGCCGCGCACATTCGCCTCAACAGTTTGCAACAGCTTCACGGATGCAGGGCTGCTTCTCTTCAACATTTGCCTTTCGCCCCGCGCCGTGCACACTCGTCCTCAAAGGTTCACAACAGTTCGGAGGATTCGTGCGGCCGAAATCCCAGAAAAATTGTGTTCTGGCGCTCACCAGGACGCCACGGCCACGCTGATTGGCAGCGCTGACGTCCCAGGAGTGGCGCCCTGACGAGGTTTGGGACTGTCGGGACGCAACGGTCACGCTGACCCGCGGAGCTGAAGTCCCAGGAACGGTGCTTTTTGGCACGGTTGCACATTATCATACGGTTGTCTTGCAATGGGAAACGTCCCACAATCAACAGGAATTCTTGTCGTGACCTATGAGGGAACTTGGAGGGAGGGCATCTTGCAACATCGTTGCTGCGTCCTGGTTTCACGCTGGTGTTCCTCATCCTCCTCCTCCTTTACCTCGCAGCGAACCTTCACCCCTCGAACCTCGATCCTCCTCCGATCCTCCACAATTGCACAACATGAATAATACTCTCCTCTCTCCCCTGGTGACGTCCGGAAGATGTGCGGCCTCCCTCCGCATACTGCTGAAGGGCTGGCCCCATTTCTGCGCCTCGGATTGTTCCAAATCGTGCTCCCGCTGCAGCGCGGCCGTTTTCGGTTCTTCCAAATAGGCCCCCAAATCTAGAAAATGCCCCCCCGAAAAACCATCGGAATTGATTACGCATTCGGTGTCGATTCGTTAATTTTTTGGACCGCAGAAGCCCACCACTTTGAGGCGTCGTCGTTTTCAGGAAGTATCAAGCGGGAGCCACGTTTCTGTTTTAAGAAGGCGATGTCGAAAGCAGAGCCAGCGGGTGCTCTCAGAAAGGAGTTTTTGGGGAGCTCAAGGAGCTAGACTCTAGACATGGAGCCACGACTCCAGACCGGCCCAGACCTCTCGAAGACGATCCACTGACCCTCCAAGGAAGCTGGCGCCATGCCATGGCATGCTGTGCGGTATTGTGTTCTGCGCCGCTATGCGATGCCATGCTTTGCTAGGGGGCCACATGTGAACCCTACCCCTACCCCCCACGATTTCTGAGGGGGAGGGTCGGGGTAGGGTTCGCATGTGGCCCCCTATTTGCGTTGCAATGATTTGTGATGCAGTGCTTCACTGCGCAATGCCACGCCATGCTATGGCATGCTACGCTCTAGCGTGCTCTTCTATGCCATGCCATGCCGTGCTCTACCATGCATCGCGTACCCTCTCGCGATCATTGCCCTGCTCGACATCCAACTGTGAGAATAGAGAGGATATCTACACCATGGTAAGGGATGGGAGGGAGGGGTAGGAAGTCAGATATGCCGCGAGCGCACCCAGCTTGCCCTCCCCCCCTCTCCCCTGCCCTTCCTCCTCCTCCTCCTCCTTCTCCTCCTCGATCCTCCCGCTTCCATCTTCCCCCTCCTCCCGTCCCCCCACCCTCCCTCCTCCCCGCCCCCCCGAAAGCCTGCGTCCAGTCGGTGCCCGTGCCGCCGCGCAGCATGTCCGCCATCACCTTCCCGGTGGCGCCCATCCCAGCCAGAGCGGCGATCGGCGACGAGGACTGGGGAAGCTAGAAGGTACCCATACCGCTGCGCCTCGGACCCCTCCTGGGGTGCGTTCTCACCAGAAGCTCGAGGCGAGTCCAGCGGTGCTGGCGAGGGCCTCCGAGGAGGCCCCCCAGAGGAGAGAACGAGGAGAAAGGGTAGAGGTATGGGCACCTTTTCCTCCTCCGAAGGACGAGCCGAGGACCTGCGAGGGAACGGGGAGGACGGCCCAGGATCAGCGAAGGACGGCAACGGAGGATCGGATGCTGGCCACGCTGTCGTGTGTGCATGTGTGTATGTGTATGCGTTTGTGCTTGTGTGTGTGTCTGTGTCTGTGTCTGTGTCTGTGTCTGTGTCTGTGTCTGTGTCTGTGTCTGTGTCCGTGTGTGTGTGTGTGTTGTGTGTGTGTGTGCCTGTGTGCCTGTGTGCCTGTGTGCCTGTGTGCCTGTGTGCCTGTGTGCCTGTGTGCCTGTGTGTGCGCGTGGCCCGCGGCCTGCTGCGGCGCCAGGCGCAAGCTTCAAGGCCTCGCGCGGCCGACGTGCTGCACGCCTGGCTCCCCGGGGAGTGCACGGGGAGGCCGCTGCTGCACGCCGGCCCCGAGGTGGTCCGGCTGCCCAGCCCCGCCAGCTGCCCCCGCGGGCCCAGCGGCAGCCGGCTGGACTGCCTTCGTGGAGCTCTGTGCTTGACAGGGTGTGTGGTCGGCACTTTGCCTGGCCGGCTTCCTCCCCCCCCCCCCACCCCCCCAGCCGCCGCCCCGCTGCTGCTGGTCCCGCCCCCCGGCGCCGCCCCCGCCGCGCGCCTGGCCCTGCTCTGAGCGGGCTCGGCTTCCATCTCCCTCCCGCCGCCGCCGGGCGCATCCTCCCTCCTCCTCGCGCCTCGTGGCATGACTCGCGCTTCGTATGTCCTACCGACGCCCTATCCGCCAGCGCAGTGACTCTGCCCAGCCGCCGAAGAAAACGTGTGGTCGGCACTGTGCCGACCAAGTTCCGGCGTTGGCCGACCTCTGCCCTCCTGCGGGCGCCAGGCGTGCTGGCCCCTGCCATCGCTCGGACGTCCATTCCCTGTGTTTTCTTCGGTGTCGTGCGTGGTTTTTTCGCCAATTGATCAAGGATGCTCCTCGATGGTCCTCGCCGCGGAAAAAACGCACACGTCCGAGCGATGCCAGGTTACCTCGGGGAACGCCCAGATCTGCAAGGTCAAGACAGGTTCGGGGCACACGTGGGGGGGCAAGAGGATGGGGAGAGGGCGGAGACAGGAGGATGAGAAGAAGGATGAGGAGACCTCTCCGGAGCTTCTTGGGTCATTCTTGGGGCCTCCCAGGAGCTTCCTGGGGACCTCTTGGGGGCCTCTTGGGAGCCTCCTTGGGCCTTGGGAGCTTCTTGAGGGCCTCTCTGGTTGTCCTTCGGCGTTCCTGGCCCATCTGTCGCCGTCAGAATCCGTCTTGGGAGCCTCTCTGGGCCGCTTTGGGGCCCTCTTGGGGCGCTTCAGGGTCGTCTTGAAGGCCATCTTGGGCGTCTTGGATGCCTCTTGGGCGTCTTGGGGCTCTTTGGGGGGCGTCTTGGGAGCCTCTTGCGCCGTCCTGGGGCCATTCTGGAAGCCTCTTGGGCGATCTTGGGGAAATCTTGGGGGCCGTTTTCAAGACAATGCCAAAATCCTTCAAACGCCTGGAGAAACTCAATGATGTTGGTCTCCTGAGGCATTCCTGGAGGACCTCTTCGAGGCCTATTTTGCACTTCTTGGACCGTCTCGGGACCTCTTGGACCATCTTGGCGGTCTTGGAGGCATCTTGGGACCGTGTTGGCGGCCACCGTGGGGCTATCTTTGGGCCATCTTGCCCGTCTTGGAGGCATCTTGGAGGCCATCTTGGCCAGCTTGGAAGCGATTTGGGCAACGAGGGCTGGATTTTCGGCGGCCTTCCGGGTGGCCTGCGGGCTTGGCCGAAGCCCCACTAGGAGTTCTAGAGAACCAAAAACCATCAGGCGTCCAGCACGCCGAACACCCCTGTGGCAATCCACAAGGGGCGGCGGATCCAGCGACTTCCGGCAGATATACCGCCAGCGTGGCTGAAGGCGTTTTCGAGCGTACTTTGCGGTACCTGCGAAAATGTCAGAAGGAAATCTGCTGTGGCTTTTCTGTGGTGTCATGTTGTTGCCTTTTTATGGGAGAATATCTGGAGGCCTCCTGGGCACCTCGAGACTCGAGAGGAGGCTCTGGAGCCTTTATGGCCCCCTCGCTGCCCTTCGTGGCCCCGTTGCTGCCCTCAATGGCCCCGTCCTTTCCTTGCGCGGCCCAATACACGTATGCCCTTCGTGGCCCCCGCTCGTTCGCGCCCGTCGTGGCCCCATGTGCATGCCTTTTGTGGAACCGCTGTCGCACTTCGTGGCCCCCTCGCTGTCCTACGTGGCCCAGTTGCTACCCTCAATGGCCCCGTCGTTGCTCCTGCTTCCGCCATCTCGCCTCCTCGCCCCCTCCCCCTTCCCCCCCCCACACCACAGCCGCCTTCCTCCTCCAAAAGCTGTAGCGCGCGCGGAGACGGAACAAGAGGAGGGGGAATAAGGAGGGGACGGAGGAGGAGGAGGAGGAGGAGGAGGAGGAGGAGGAGGAGGAGGAGGAGGAGAGGAGGGATATAGGAGGGACGGAGAGGAGGAGGAGGAGAAGGAGGAGGAGGAGGAGGAGGAGGAGGCAGAAGGCGGATGAGGAGGAGCGAGGAGGAGGAAGAGGAGGGAGGAGGAGGGGAGGGGAGGAAGGAGGAGGAGGAGGAGGAGGAGGAGTAGGAGGAGGAGGAGGAGGAGGAGGGAGGAGGAGGGAGGAGAGAGTAGGAAATCGGGTAAGGGGGAGCTCCTCCTCCTCCTCCTCCTCTCCTAATCCTCCTCTCCTCATTCATCCTCCTCTCCTCCTCTCCTACTCCTCCTCCCCCTCCTCCTCCCTCCCTCCTCCTCCTCCTCCTCCTCCTCCCCTCCCGTTCCCCTCCTCCTCCTCCACCTCCTTCTCCTCCTCCTCCTCTTCGTCCTCCTCGTCCTGATCGCTCCCCTCGTCCCTCTCGTCCTCCTCGCCATTCCCGCCCTCGCCCCCTCTTCTGTGCAGCCACATGCTGTGAATACGCACTACTCTCCTCTCTCCCCCCCGAGGCCGCCGACTGGGCAGCACGCACGGACAGATTGTCTTCTATACGTCGGATCCCCGGCATCTGGTCGATCGTGAAAGCTTTTCCGTTCCGAACGCCTCCGGTCCTTCCAGAAGGGCGCTCCCGCTCCAGCCTTGGCGTCATGCTCGCGTTCTCGGCCCTTGCAAAGATCGTTCTCCCGCTGCAGCGCTGGCCTCGTTTCATTGTTTCGGTTCTTACAAAGTCGTGCTCCCGCTGCAGCGTGGACCCCATTTTCGGATCGGTGCGTCGCTCCAGTCGTTCAGAATGGCGCTCTCGCCCCAACGCGGGCCACTCTTATGGATCCGAGTCTTTCTTCATTGTTGTCGCCCCCTTCATTTCCCCTCCTCGGCCTTCCCATGGTCCGCCTGTTTCTCCCGCTCCGTTCACTCCTGTTCCTGCTGCTGCTGATCGCCCTCGTACTTCTCCTGCCGCTCATCTTCCGACTCTTAGGTCGGGCATGTTCTCCTTCAGGCGGATTTTGGAAGAAACATTGAACATAATCCAACATATTCAAGCAAATCAGAAAGCACGGAACATCGTCCCCAGACTAGTTTGCACTATTCTTAAGTTATTCCTCCGGTAGAAGGACGTGCCCGACTTAATTCTACTCACCCGCCACTTCCTTCTCCCGTGCACACAGCCCCCCTTTTCTCCGATGGCGCACAACACGACGTGGCCTTTCGGCTGGAGTGGTAGTCGTTTACGACACGCGTCCGCAGGTAGGGACCAATCTGCGCAATGGGAATGGATGGGAGGTACAGTAGGGGCCCGACTACAAGAAACCTTCCACAAGAAACCCAACCCTGAGACTCCAGGATGTCAATTGATCTTTGGTGTGGGAACGTTACTCTTTCCATCGCGAAACCATCGAAATCCAAGAAACTCAGGGCACCCTGGAGGCAAACAGGTGTTTGTTGGCATGGGTCTCCACTGTAATATGACGTGGTCTTTCGGCTGGAGCTGTCGGTCGGCTATGATACGCGTCCGCGGATAGGGCAAACATCTGCGCAGTGGGAAGGAATGGGAGGTAGGGATAGGATGTCAGATGCGGCGCGAACGCACCTAGTTTATCACCCCCTCTCCTCTGCACGCCGGGGCGCACACGAGGGATGATGATGATGATGATGATGATGATGATGATGATGATGATGATGATGATGATGATGATGATGATGATGATGATGATCATGATGATTGCTTGATTGGTTGATGATGGCTAGAACGAGGAGGAGGAGGAGGAGGAGGAGGAGGCGGAGAGGTGTCCCCCGCCGACGGCGGCGGCGACGACGACGACCACGCCTCGCGCGCGCGAGCGAACTCGTCGGCATCTCCCTCTCTCTCTGTCTGTCTCTCTCTGTCTCTCTCTCTCTCTCTTTCTGTCTTTCTCTGCCTCCCTTTGTCTCTCTCTCTCTGTCTCTCTCTCTCTGTCTCTCTGTCTCTCAGTCTCTCAGTCTCTCTCTCTCTCTCTCCCTCCCTGCGCTACTGCTGCACAAGAGGAGTGCGGCTCTTCTGCCTCCCCTGAAGCTGTGCAGTGGGGACACCGCCTCTCCCGCAAACAGCTTTTCCACACACGCACACGCACACACACGCACACACGCACGCACGCACGCACGCACGCACGCACGCACACACACACAGACACACACACGCGCACACACACACACACACACACGCGCACCCACGCACGCACGCACACACGCGCACCCACGCACGCACGCACGCACGCACGCACGCACGCACGCATCGCCGCGCACAGCACACAAAAAACACACAACACACACATAACACACACAGACACACACACGCGACACACCCCACCCACAACACAACGCGCACCCACGCACGCACGCACGAACGCACGCACGCACGCACGCACGCACCGCCACCGCGCACACACACAAAACACACACACAACCTATACACACACACACACGCACACACGCACGCAGCACGCAACGCACGCACGCACACGCACGCACGCACCGCACGCACCGCACGCACGCACGCACGCACAAACACACGCACGCAAAGATTGCCTCGATCGAGCGGGCCTCGGCCTTGGGGCGCTCCGACTACGGTGCTGGCCACAGCCACGTGGGAAAGGATGGGTGTGAGGGGTGGAGTTTCAGATATTGCACGAGCTCGCCGTCATATCACAAGCCTGTATATGTACATGTGCATATGCCTGTATACATATATATATATATATATATATATGAGTATATACATATATATATATATACTTATATGTATACTTATATACAGACACATGTGGATTCGCCATTCGTGCCCTTGAGGCAGGAGTTGGAGTGTCCTCGGGTCCCTTGTGGGATCCCCTGGAGCCCCTCAGTCCTCAACCCTCAGGGATCTGCAGGCGGCCCAGACCCAAAGTTGCCACATCTCCTGGGGCTCGCCGTGTGGCCCCTGGGGCTCCCGGCGTCTTGCTGCATCACGTTTTCGAGAGGGCCCCGAATCGCCAATCAATCGGCCCGTGACGCCCAAAATGCCATCCAATCGGCCGAAAGAGCGCCCAGGACGTCTGAAGAGGCCTCCGAAAGCCTTCCTAGGGAGGCCGCGAGTAAAGCTCACATCATTCTCGCCTTTCGGGCTTCACGTCGCTCCGAGACGCCTTCAGAGGCCCTCAAGGTCGCCCCAAGACGCCCCAAGACGGCCCGAGAGGCCTCCAAGAGAGCCCCCAAAACGCCCTGGAGGGCCCCAAGAGGGCCCAAGAGGCCTCCGAGACTGCTCAACAAAGGCTCCCCCCAAGAGGCGCCAAAAGGCCCCTAAGAGGCCCCCAGGAGGTCCCAAGGGGCCCTGCAAGAGGCTCCCAAGATACCCCCAAGAGGGCCCCGAACTCCCCCCCAGAGGCCCCCAAGAGCGCTCCGAAGAGACCCCAAGAAACATCCCTGAGGACTCTGACTCGCAATCCAAGCATGGTGGCAGGATGGGCCGAAGGCCATTAGATGTATGTTCCTCAATGTGTGACAGACTGTCATCATCCTCATAGGCATCCTCGTCCTCGTACGCACTCTCATTATCCTCAGCATCCACACAATCATCTTCACCATCACCACCACCACCTCCACCATCATCCTCATCACCATTCTCATCCTCATCCTCATCGTCATGGAAGTCGTCATCATACAATATGCATCCACCTCCAACTCAAGCTGCCCCTCCTCCTCTTCTCTATTTCTGTCTTCCTCCGCCTCCTCCTCCTCCAACTCGAGCTCTCCTTCAGGGACGAACGACGAGGTCCTCCTACTCCTCGTCCTCCTCCTCCCCCATCGGTTGCTCCTCATCTCTTCCTAATCCCTCGTCATCTTGTCGTCTGCTCCTCCTCCTTATCCGAGTCCTACTTTTCCTCTTCTCCTGATCCTCCTCCGCCTCCTCCTCCTCCTTCTCCTCTCCCGAGGAGGAGGAAGGTGGAATGGCATCCTTCCCTGGGTGGCTAATGCCTCCCAATGTCTCTCAAGGAGCCGTGGGGCGAGGACGGGAGGAGCACGAGGAGGAGTGATGGGGGGAATCAGGAAAACGGGATGGGAGGACGAGTGACCATACTTTGGAGACAGTGGCGGGCGGGTGCAGCGAGGATCGCGGCAGCCACCCCCACCCCGTCAACACCCGCGTCAGGAAGTCGCACAGGGCCGTGTTGCGGACGTGGCTCTGGGTCACGTACTCTGCTGATCAGCGGGCAGGGGAAGCAGCAGGGGGCGAAAAAGGAGCAATGGGGGGGGCGGATCAGGCAAGATTCTGTAGCCACTGGGAGGAATCTGAGGGTGAGTCGGAGGAGGAGCGTGGAGGGACGGACATGGAAGAGGAGGCGGGAGGATAGGGGGGGAGGGAGAACGGGAACGGGTGGAAGAGAGAAGGAGGGGCGCTGGGGGGGAGGAGGGAGGAGAAGGAAGACGAGGGGATGCGGAGGAGAAGGAAGACGGGGGGACGAGCAGAAGAGGGGATGCGGAGGGGGGCGAGATGGAGGGAGAGAGGGCGGGGCACAAAAGATGGCCGGGAGGAGGAAGAGGGGGATGAAGAGATGGAGGATGAGGGGAAGGAGGAAGAGAATGAAGGACGGAGGCAGGCAGGGCGGAGGAGCACGAGGAGGACGGGCGAAACAACGATGATGCTGATGATGATGCTGATGATGATGCTGATGATGCTGATGATGATGATGGTGGTGATGCTGCTGCTGCTGATGCTGATGGTGGTGGTGATGCTGCTGCTGCTGCTGCTGCTGATGATGATGATGATGATGATGGTGATGGTGGCTATGCTGATGATGATGCTGATGCTGGTGCTGATACTGATTATGGTGGTGACGCTGATGATGATGATGATGATGATGATGATGCTGATGCTTATGATGCGGATTAAACTGATGATGATGCTGATGCTGCTGATGATGATGATGATGATGGTGATGACGAGGGAGAACGGGGCGGATAGGGAGACGGTTTGAAGGGAAGGGCGAAGAGGAGTAGGAGGCGGAGGACGGCGACGACGAGGACGAGAAGGATTGGAAGGACAGGAGGGATGGAGGGAGAAAGAAGGGAAGGGGAGGATGAGAGAGGAAGGAAAGAGTAAGGGAGGAAGGGAGGAGGCAGGAGAAGGGAGAAGGAGAAGACGGAGGAGGCCTCTCCCAGCCCCATCTCTGAGCCCAGTGGGTAGACAACCGCGGCAAGAGGGAGGAGGGGGGAGGAGGCGGAGGAGGCGGAGGGGGAGGAGGAGGAAAGAGGGGGTAGCATGGAGGGAGGAGGGAGGAGACATCAAGGGAGAGAAAAAGACGAGAAGGCCATCCCCCCCGCCCCCCCCCTGACCGCCTGCTCCACAGCAAACAGCGAGAGGCCAGGAAACGGCTGACCGCAGGACACGACGAGGACAAAACCGAGAAGGGGCAGGATGGCGACGCCGACGAATATCGCGACGACGACGCCGACGACGAAGAACCACGACGCAGCGAACGGTGACGACGGTTGACGCAGACGACCGCGACGTCGACGGGGACCACAACACCGACGAGCGGCGACGACGGCAAGAAAGACGGCCACGACGCCGACGGCAGCTGCGACGGCGACGACGGCGACGCAGACGACGCGGGCGGCAGCGGCGAGGGCGGCGGCGGGCGGCGGCGACGGACGGCGGCCGCGGGCGGGCACGACGGGGACGCGGCCCGAGAGGCAACGAGCACGGCGGCGAGGGCCTGGGCGGCGGCGGGCGGCGGCGGCTGCGACGGCAGCCGGCAGGAGAGGCGCGGGAGAGTCCCGTAGACCCGCCCGCGCAGGCTCAAGTCGGGCGTGTCCCCCCACAGGGGGATTGCGGGCGAAACATAAAGAGTACCACAACAATACCCCCCAAATAAGCAAAGATAGTCAAACAAATCGTCCCCACACGATTGTTTTTCATATAACAAATAGTTTTGAATCTTCCTCCTGTGGAAGGACGGGCCCAACTTCAGCGCAGGCCTGGCCAGGGGCCATCCCTGGGCACTGGCACGGCGCATAACTTTGGAGTCCCGAAACGGTGCGGTGACAGACCGTGCGGTGACCTAGAAATCCCGCAAGACCTCACCGCACGGTCTTGGGACCCCGGGGGCCCCTGTCGCCCGAGACGTCCTCGGAGAACTACCGAGTCCACAAATCGCGCGGTGACCCCGAATCCCCACAGAATCACCACTCCTCCTCTTCCTCCTCCTCCTCCTCCTCCTCATCCATCCTCACTCCTCCTCCCCTCCTCCTCCTCATGCTCCTCATCTCCTCCTCATCCCCTCCTCCTCCTCCTCCTCCTCATCCTCCTCCTCCCACTCATCATACTCCTGCTCCTCATCCTCCTCATCATCTCCTCCTCCTCCTACTCCTCCTCCCCCTCCTCCTCCCCCTCCTCCTCCCGAATCCCCACCGACTCACCGCACGGTGTGGTCACCACACCGTTTGGGGGTCTCGAGACCATCCCCGCCCGGCCTCGGCCGGGAGGGCCTCGCGGTCGGGAGCTCCGGCTCCGCACGTCGCGGCGGGTGCCCCTGCGACGCGCCGTGCCCTCCAAGCCGACGGTTCGCGAGTCGCTCTGCTTCTCGGGGCTAGAATTATGTCGGGCGTGTCCCCCTACAGGGGGATGTGGGGCGAAAGATGAAAAAATACGAACGAAATATCCCCCACATGCTGAAACATAGTCTAAAAATCGTCCCCTTATTATTTATGGACTATTTTTGAATATCCCCCCTGTAGAGGGACAGGCCCGACTCAAGGCTAGAAAGCAAATTGGCATGAACATGAACTTTTGGCGCTCCGCGCGGATCTCTTGGATCTGCGCTGGGCCCCCCTCCCTGGCGCGCTCCGCGCGCCAGGGGCGGCGCCGGAGGCGCCGCCAGGGAGGCCCAGCGCAGATCCAAGAAATCAGCGCGGAGCGCCCAAGGATTGTGTATAGCGCTTTCCCTTCTTCAAGGGACGGGAGGCAGTGTCGCGCCGAGCAGCGGCGGCACAAACTGGCGGTGCGACACGCTATGCAAACGTTCCTGACCGCATACGCAAGCCTGGGGCCAACGGCAAGAGCGGTCAGCATCGAATGGGGGCATCGAATCGGAGCGGAATGTGCGTCGGGTCGGGCCGTACCGGCAGGGAGCCAGTATCGAATCGGATGGGCTGTGCCAGCATGAGCGGCAACGCCATGCGAACATCGGGCCGCGCCCCGCGTCGTCGAGACACCGGAATCGAATCGGATGGGCTCGGGCAGGAATCGGGCGGGGTGGTGGCGGCCGCCTCCCACCACGGTCCCTGGAGAGCGGGGCGGAGGAGAAGGAGGAGGAGGAGGAAGAGGAGGAGGAGGAGGAGGAGGAGGAGGAGGACGAGGAGGAGGAGGAGGAGGAGTACCGAAACGGACCCTGGCAGGGTGGGCGTGGCCGGGCGCAGCGGTGGTGCACGAGAGGCTCTCCGCGGAGAGGAGAACCGCCGAAGGGCGAGGGGGGTGCCGGAAGCCCCGCGAGGGAGGACGAGCGCGACGAGCCCGACGAGGACGAGGGCGACGACGCGGCGAGGGCCGAGAGCGGCGGCGGAGAGCGGCGGCGGCGGCTCGCGTCGGAAAAAATCAGGACGGGAGGTTGTTCGCCACTTTCGGCCCCGGGCCCATGGGGCCGTCGAAAAACGGCCCGGGACGAGAAAGCCGTCCCCGGGGAGAGGGGTCGGGATATGTCCGGGGAGGCCGCGTGGAGAAAAGCAGAACGTCGCCCCAGACATGCGACGTCCTGACTTTTTCGGGACGGCGTCCCCGGAAGTCCCGACCCTTTCCCCAGGGCTGGATTCTCATCCTGAGTCGTTTTTTGACGCTCCCAGAGACCGTCGAAGGCCCCCCAGAGGCCGAAAATCCGTCCTGATTTTGTTGTCGACGCGAGCACGTCTGGGTTGAAAACATCAGGACGTCACATGTCTGGGGCGGCGACGAGGGCGAGGGCAGAGATGCCGAGCACGGCGGAAAAAAGAAACGCAGAGGAATCTGCCAAGACCGTGCGCCCCCCCTCTGGGAGGAGGCGCTCGTCCGGACCGCACATGCAGCACACACGCGCACAGATCCTGAGGAGGAGGAGGGGGAGGAGGAGAAGGGAGGGGGAGGAGGAGGAGGAGGAGGAGGAGGAGGAGGAGGAGGAGGAGGAGGAGGAGGAGGACGAGGAGGAGGGGAGGAGGAGGAGGCGGAGGAGGAGGAGCAGGATGAGGAAGAGGAGGAGGAGGAGAGGAGGAGGAGGAGGGGGAGGAGGAGAGGGCGGAGGAGGAGGAGGAGGATATCGGTGCCTGGGCGGCAGAGCAACAGCCCCGCCACTGAGCATAACCGCTGTAAGATCTCTCTGAGCGCCCGCGCGTCGCCCCTTGGGGGGACCTGGCGCACACCAGCACCAGCAACCGCAGGGAGCGAGTGTGGACCCCTCCCAGGACGATCACTGGCACTCGAACTCAGGTGGCCGATTTCGGAAACGCTGTGTGTGTGTGTGTTTGTGTGTGTGCGTGTGTGTTTTGGGTGCGGTCGTTTGTGCGTTGATATTTAAGTATCTCTCTCTGTGTGCGGGTTGTGTGTTTTCCCCCACAGAACGTGTGTGTGTGTGTGTGTGTGTCGTGCGTGTGTGTGTGTGTGTGTGTGTGTGGTGTGTGTGGTGGGTGTTGTGTGTGTGTGTGTGTGTGTGTTGTGTGGTGTGTGTGTGCGGTGCGATTGTGTGCGTAAGTGCTTAGTGGTGTGGTGGGCTGTGCAGTGTGCGGGTGGCGTGTGCGTGCGTGTGCGTGCTGGTGTGCGCTTGTGCGTGTGCGTGTGTTGTGTGTTTCCCACAGACGTGTTGTGTGTGTGCGGTGTATGTTGTGTGTGTTGACGTCTGTGAGTGTGGTAGTGCGTGTGCGGTCTGTGCGTGTTGCGGTCTGTGCGTGTGCGTGTGCCGTGTGAGTGTGTTGTGTGTTTTCCCCCCGTGACGTGTGTGGTGGGTGTTTTGTGTGTGTGGTGGCCGTGAGTGTGCGTTGTGCGTGTAGCGTGCGGGTTGACGCGTGCGTGTGCGAATGTGCGTGTGCTTTGCGTCGTGTGTGCGTGTGTGTGTGTGGTGTGTGTGTTGTGTGTTGTGTGTGTTTGGTGTGTGGTGGTGTGTGTTGTGTCTGTGTGTGTTATGTGTGTGTGTGTTGTGTGTGTGTGTGTGTTGTGTGTGGTGTGTGTGTGCGTGCGTGTG